GAGCCCAGGCAACCAGTCAGGAAGCAGACAGAGCGCGCTTCATCAGAGTTAAATGCTTTTATGTTTTCAAGGACACTGTCAGGGAAGTGAAAAGACAGCCCACTGGATGGGAGACATTTTTGCAAATACCGTATCGGATGAGGGACTTTTATCTCTATATATCAGGAGCCCTTACAGCTAAGTAATACAAAGACAGCCCAGCGGAAAATGGTCAACAGACACTGGTCTGTTGACAGACATTGACATTTGACAGACAGTGGTCGGTAGACCTTTCTCCAGAGAGGTCGCCCAGGTGGCCGACACACACACATGATTAAGATACTCAGTGTCCTTAGGATCGGAGAAGCGCACGTCAGAGTGACGGTGAGATGCCGCTTCACGCCCCAGGATGCCCGTGTCAAGAAGTCCGGTAATAATAGGTGCGGACGAGGATGCGGAGAACCGAGTGTCCTCACACACTACCAACAGGATTGTTAAATGGCCCAGAGGTACGGGAGATAGTCTTCCAGTTCTTAACGTGGTGACATAGTTACCACGTGACCCAGAATTTCACCCCTAGCTTTATACACAGGAGAGGAAACGCGCAGCAGCATTATTCAGAAGAGCCAAATGGGGGGAACAGCCCAGATGGCACCTGATGAACAGACATATTATTTTTATTATTCCTGCATAAAAAGGAATGAAGTCCTGACGCTACCGCAGGGTTGAGCTTTGAAAGCGTCATGCCGAGTGACGAGCGAGTCACAGGATCATGTATGATGACATTTCTGTGAAATGGCCAGGGTGTGTAGATGGTTGACAGGGGTGGAAAGTCCATTAGTGGTTCCTTGATACTGGGGGGTAGAGAGTTGGGAGGTCATAAAGAGCCCTGAGTTTCCCTCTGGGAGGATTGAAATGTTCCCAGATAGGTTGTGGTGATGGTTTCTGAGTTGGAATGTAGTAAGGCAATGAGGTACCACCACACACGTGTTGTGATGGCCCGAGAAACACTGGCCCTCCAGCAATGCTGCTGCTGAGGAGCAGCCGTTGGAACGTCCTTCCGTTGCTGGTGGGAGTACACAGTGGTATGGTCGCTTTGGGAGGTAGCTGGGCAGTTTCTTACAAAAACTAAACCTACTCTTACCTGATATGATTCAACAGTTTTCCTCCTCAGTATATGCCTGAGGGAATTGAAAACTGTCCATGCAGTTATGGACTAATAATTACCCAGACTTGAAAGCAATCAAGATGCCCTCTAGTAGGTGAACGGATAAGCTGGTACATCCAGACAGTGGAATATTTAGCCTCAAAAAGGATGCTGTTGGATTGTAACTGTGGGACACCCCAGAAAAGGCAAGACTGTGGAGATAGTGAAATGATGAGTGATTGCCAGGGCCTGGGAGGGAAGGAGGAATGAATGGGGCAGAGAGGACTTGTAGGGCGGGGAACTCTTGTGTGTGATCCACGGGGGCGGAGACATGTCATTGTGAGTTAGTCTCATGTAGACCGTGGGGTGTGTCATGTAATATGTGTTTGTAGGGTGTGCACAGGAGGGGAGCTTGTGCGGGGTGGGGCAGGGAGGGTATGGGAGCTCTGTACTTTCTGCTCCATCTTGCCGTGAGCAGAAATGGCTCTAAAAAATAAAGTTCATCAGTTTAAAATGCCCGAGGCTAGTCTCATAGTAGCGTGTTGCGGAGGGCACGTGGGTGCGAGGGGCAAGACGGCCCGCCGGTCTGTGCTTGCGGGAGCTGCGTAGCGGGTGCACAAGGTTTGTAACGGTCACTTCCGAATCTGGTAGGGGAGGACTCCCCACGTCATCAGAACGATGTGTCTCTATGAAACTGCACAAAAGTAGACAGAATAGGACAAGAACTGCTGTGTCAGGCCGCGCTGTGCAGCTCTGGTGGGAGAGAGCCCCCCTGCAGGCGAGAACGTCCGTAACCAGGCCCTCGCGTGAGCACAAGGTTTTACTACAGCTTGGACGCTGGTACATCCGGTGTGTTACTCGTGACAGCAGCACTGTGTGTGTGCAAGGACATAGTCACATTTTAGAGATGCATGTTGTGGTATGTTAGGTGATGTTCTGTTGTTTCTGGGGCTTATTTTCAAGATACATGGTAGAAAAGCGATGGCTGAAATCAGTGTGTTTGGATCTTGGTGCATCTTGGTGATGGGTACGTGACAGATTGTTGTACTAGATTCTGAGTTTCGGAGTACGTTTGAAAATCTTTATCACTACATATACAAAACCAAAATGGATAAATTACTGTTCTTTAGTTGGTTTTTTTTTTTTTTTAAAGCAAGGGGTTGCAATTTTTTTTTTTTTTTTAAGATTTTATCTATTTATTTGACGGAGAGAGACACAGTGAGAGAGGGAACACGAGCAGGGGGAGTGGGAGAGGGAGAAGCAGGCTTCCCGCTGAGCAGGGACCTGGATGGGGGACTCAATCCCAGCACCCTGGGATCATGACCTGAGCCAAAGGCAGGAGCTTAACCGACTGAGCCACCAGGCGCCCCAGATAACTGTTCTTTAATAATAACTTGTACCATTGCAAACATTTGAAATGTTTGGTACAGAAAATGTAGGTTTTTCTAAGTTTTAACTTCTTTTTGTTTCTTCATTAAATATATATATTTAAGGAATATGTAGCATATAATATAGATCTTATCTCAATATACATAAGTCAGGAACTAAATTTGACCTAGTCTTCCTCTAGGCCCTCTGTGCTGCTTTTACCCTGTGGAAACATGCCACAAATTAGCATTTAAGTTTGGTATTTGTTGTTTTTCTGTTCATAGTGACCACATGTTAGTCTGGGTAATTTCCAGTAAATAAAAAGGAGCAGGGGTAATCAGCATGAGCAGGTGTGAGTGTATAGACTTGAGCCTTAACAAAATTGTAGCTCTCAGAAAAGACCAACGTATTCCAAAGATAATGCTTTTTCTTTTATTTCACATTTCACTCAGAACACGGAGGTTATGCACACAGCTTTCCTTCTGTGGCTTCACGTGTGTGGTCCTGGGGTCCTTCCCACGCACCCATCGCTGTTTCCTACATACCCGTCTTTCCTCCCAGACAGGTCATTACTTTCTGCAGTTAACGTTCTTATCACTTTCTCTGGCTAGTGTTTCAAAATGGTTTTTTTAAGATTTCTTTATTTATTGGAGGGTGTGTGAGGCCGTCGGGCAGACTCCCCACTGAGCATGGAGCCTGTGGGGCTCTATTCCTCCGCCCTGAGATCATGACCTGAACCAAAACCAAGACTCAGATGCTTTGCCAGCTGAGCCACCCAGGCACCCCCAGGATGTTTTGATACTGACGTCGACGCAGGTGTTGTGGAAGTAAAGTCTCTGCGCGACTTACGATGAGCGTGACTAGTGCTTCCCCCGTTGCCCGGCCGGCCTGTGCGGGGTGGTGATTGATGTCCTCATAACGTTGAAAAGTCCTTTACTGTTATCGAGTTGATTTTTTTTAAAGATTTTATTTATATGTCAGAGAGAGAGAGAGGTTGAGCACAAACAACAGGAGCAGCAGAGAGAGAGAAGCAGGCTTCCCGCTGAGCCGGGAGCCAGTGCGGGGCTTGACTCCAGGACCCCAGCATTGTGATCTGAGGGAAGGCAGACAGTTAATGAGCGAGCCACCCAGGGGTCCCTCGATTAGCTTTTTCTAGTACTTAGAAATTCATGCCAAGAAGCGTTGCCGCCACCTCGGCTTGAGCGTGGTGTGATTCCTTCATGTTGTGCGGCAGCCGGTGACAGAGTTAGGTCCTCAGACTGCTGTCCTGGCCCGTCCGCTTCATTACTGCGGTCTGTAAAGGAAATCGGCGACTTCGCGTAGAGACGCACGGTTCTCCTGCATGAGTGTCTCATACCTTTGATGGTGGAAGCCATGGAAAAGTCAAGAGACAAGCAGCTGGGAGAGTGTTCTCAGAAAGCAGGGTCAGTCAGTACCGGGATGTGTCAAATACTCTTCTCCATCAGAGGAAAGGTGGTTCGTTAGAGACCCAGGCAGGGGCCGTTACTGAAGAAGAAACGCAGGCATTAACTGTCTAAAAGATACTCAGCCTCACTGCCGATGGGGGCTAGAGATTACAGCTCTCGCCGGCTTCTCCCCGAGACGTGGGCAAGGAGTGTAAGCAGTGGCGAGTAGTGACCGTTGGTAAGTGTACGGGGAGCAGGTGCGCCCCCACGTACTGTTGGCAGGTGCGCCCTGTGCAGAGTCAGTTGGCCAAACACACGCCCTAGCTGGGCTTGCACGTCAGATAACTTAACACTTAAGAGGCAGTCAAGAGATGTGGGAAAATTCATCCTGACTTTAAGAAATCCTTGATCTTGTATGGCTACCGTATACTCTGGCTATTTTCCTCCTCTGTTAACTGTTTCTGGAATGTTTACTTTGTGCAAGTGTTGGACTACTAGGTATTTTCAGTAGATTGTCTTATCATTAAAGCAGCCTTCTGAGATGGGTGTTTCTAATCCCGGTTTTGTAGATGTGGAAACTGAGGCCAGAGAGGTTAAATCCGTTCATTAGCCAGTGGTGAAAGAGGTTCAGCTTAGCGTTAGAACTACGGCCTTAATCACTGTCTGGTCGGATAATTAAGTAAGTAATGGCTTTATGATACCCTGTATACCTTAACTTTTATGTTTATTAAAATAATTCCATTTTGGGGACCCCTGGGAGGCTCAGTCAGTTGAGCGTCTGGCTCTTGGTTTCGGCTCAGGTCATGATCCCAGGGTCCTGGGATGGAGCCTGGCATCAGGCTCCCTGCTCAGCCGGGGTCTACTTCTCCCTCTGCCCCTGCCCCAACCCCTACTCGTGCGCCTGCTCTCTCTCGCTCTCTCTCAAATAAGTTTTTAAAGAAATGTTCATTTTTTCTAAGTTAACATTTTAAAATTCAGGGCTTCATTTCCTCACTAGAATGTTAACATCGTAAGTGTAATGCTTTATTGCTTCCTTGGGATGCCAGTCTGACCCACACAGACGCTAACGGGAAGGCTTTCCTCCCTCCCTCTCTCCCCAGAGGACCTGAAGAGGCAGAATGCGGTGTTGCAGGCGGCGCAGGACGACCTGGGGCAGCTGCGGACGCAGCTGTGGGAAGCCCAGGCAGAGGTGGAGAATATCAAGGCCATCGCCACGGTCTCTGAGAACACCAAGCAGGAAGCCATCGATGAAGTGAAGAGACAGTGGAGAGAAGAGGTTGCCTCGCTTCAGGCTGTGATGAAAGGTAAAGACCGAGAACGTTCCGGGAGTGCCGTGGTTTCCTGAGCTCACCGCTGCTGACGGCGGACGGCTGGGCGGCGATCCCGCAGGGTCCTGAGCTCACTTGTGGCTTCCTGCATTGCTGTCGTCAGGGGCGCCATCCTCCCTGGAACGAGGGGAGGCCCGTGGTGCTGTCCTCGGCCTGCCATCCGCCTCTGTCCTGGGTTTGGGACTGGGGGCTTATGGGGGCATCTGTGGGGCTGCGTTTCCCCGGGGTTGGCAGTGGGGCCGGGCCGGGTGTGTGGGAGGAGCTGGCTGCGTGGACGCGGGGCATGTGCGGGGCGTGTGTGGGGCGTGTGTGGGGCGGAGACCTCCCCGGGGTGCAGGTCGCTGCTGACACTTCCCTGCTGTGCGTGCAGTCCAGTGCGGCATGGAGTTTGCGTTTTCAGGGGAAGCTGGGATTTGATGGGCCCCTTCACCGTGGTCTCTGAGGCCGGAAGGCACGGGCGGGAGTCGGTGGGCTGGCCGGGCCGCCAGACTTTGAGTCTGGGGTGAGGGAGCAGCCGCGGCTTGGTCTGAATGCTGTTGGCGCTGGTGCTCCGTGGCTCCTGCCTCTCTGGCCACACGAGGGTGAAGTGGAGGAAGTTGCCCCTGAAGCTTTGGGTTCCTGAAATTTGTTTCATTCATATTGTGCGTGTGAAATAGTGGTGACTTTCTCTGCCATGTTGGCCTGCGTGTCTTTTTTGCCCTGCTGCTCCGGAGGCAGCTGGGGAACACGAGCCCTGTCTCCAGGTTGGTGGCTGTCCCCTCGGGATGGGTGTAAGCCTCACGGCGGCTGGCGACAGTGGCTCACCCTTGCAGGAGTCCCGTTCCTCCCTCAGAAGCAGCAGCCTGGAGGCGGGGACTCTGGGCCAGTTAGAGCCTCTGCGATGGCACGCGTGTCCCTGGGCCTTCGGTCCTCGTGGTTCTCCATTCCTTAGCACAGGGCTTTCAACACCATCCTCCTCACGGCTGAAAAGTGGCCGCTGCGCCTTCGGTCCACCTCAGAGAAGCAAACGTTTTCTCGAAGCCTCCAGCATGTACCTGTCCCGTTTACTGAGGGGCGTGGTTGTCCGTAACTACAAAGGCAGCTGGATAATCTGGTTTCTAAACTGGGCCACTGAGTTCTTAACAGAATTGGGGTTTTGTGGGGCAGGAGTAAGGGATGGAAGTTAGTGGCCACCAGCAGTGTGTCTCCCGGAATGCTGTACGATTATACCGACAGTGAAGCCGTTTGATGAGGACCATGTAGACTCCTCTCGGTGTAGAGTCCCGAGACCCAGGGCACTGTCGCAGATGCGTATCCCTATCCCCCACGTCTGGGGCTGTGGGTGGGGTGACGGTCCTGTTGGGGTCGCAGCCGGAGCCTGTGTGTGCCGGCAGAGGTGTGGCGGAGGCTGGCCCGCTCAGCCGTGCTCTGCTGCGGGGCCCGGCACCGGCGGGGCTGGACCTTCCCCGGGCTTTCCCCTTCCGGGAGGGAACATTCGGCTCCTGCCGGTCGTGAGGAATAGATGAGCTTCAGAGCCATCAGCGGAGAGAGAACCAGAAATCTCACCGTGGGTTTCGTTGTTTTGTGTGACCCGGACCGGGCTCCTCCCGTGGTGCTTCCCATGGTGGGCGCACCCCGACCGCGCTGTGCGGTGCCTCCCGCAGAGACCGTGCGCGACATCGAGCACCAGTTCCACGTGCGGCTGGAGCAGGAGCGTGGCCAGTGGGCGCAGTACCGCGAGTCCGCCGAGCGCGAGATTGCTGAGCTGCGGCGGCGGCTGTCCGAGGGCCAGGAGGAGGAGAACCTGGAAAACGAAATGAAAAAGGTACGAGGGAGTGTCCTCGTGTGCGGGGGGCGTCCGATCTGCGTGCGCACGCGGGGGCTCTGGTCTGCGACGGGGGCTGCATGTATGCAGAGTGCAGGGCTTTCCCGCCTGATGTGCGGGACAGCCATGCGGCCACCGGCCTCCTGCCTCTGACACGTGTCCCCGCCGCAGCTCTGCTGGTCACCTGGCCCCACGCGCGTGTCTCCCTGTCTGTCGCACACACAGTTCCCCTGTGTGTCGTGTGTGCTGTTGGTGCCTCTCTGTCCCCGCTGGCCGGGGAGCTCCGCGGGGGCGGGAGTCTTGTTTGCTGGTGGAGCCTGCGGACTCGTGCTTGTGTCTGGCACGCCGGCGCCGCATGACTGTGAGTAGGTCTGACCCGGACCTGGACACCAGATGGTGGTGATCCGTCTTTCCCAGCACACGGTGGTTCCCGCGCGAGGACTGCGCCGCCTGCCATGCTGAACACGGTGCGGCGGGTGCCTGAGCTGGGCGGGAGGGCCAGGGTTCCCTCTCAAGAGGAAAGCCGGAAAGCTTTTTGGCCTGTGTAGTTAGATGAACTTTCCCTTTACTAATGGAGGCACAGTCATGTATTGTAAGGCACATATTATGTAAAATAATGGCTGGAATTGGATTTTTTGATGTCATTCGGATTAGTCATTCTCTCTGGTCCCTCAGTCCATACAAGGACACTTTTGTGTTTTTAGAAGGTTGTTTGGTTTTCTAATAACATAAAAGTCATCTGAGAACCCAATACCCTGAGTAGAAGCTTCAAACATGAAGAATGGTTTTTTCCGTTCCATCTTGTTCCAGGACAAGCCTGTAACTCAGCGTTTTCATGAGGACCCGAGTGTATCTCAGTGGCCGCTAGAGTCACTTAGTCCTGTGACAGTGTGCTCCACGGCAGGCCCCGTGTCTGGTGCTGTCACTGGGAGTTCTAGCCCACGTCCTAACAGGAGATCGTTGTGGTTTTCATTCTTCTGATACGTTCACATCCTTGATTTTCACAACCTGCCACTTCTTGTCATTCTTAAAATTTGTTTTATTTGTAAGATAAACTTTATTTTTTAGAATGGTTTTTGAGTCCAGAAACACTGTGAAGATAGTAGAGAGTCCCATATGCCCCACTCCTGGCTTCCCCCGTTACTAGGATCTGCTGTCAGTGTAGTTTGTTTGTCACAACTGATAAACCAGCGTCGATTCGTTCTTACTAACCCGAGTCCATGCTCATCAGTTTTTACCTCACCTCCTTTTTTATGTTCTAAGATCTCTTGCACGAAAGCACATTGCGTGATGCCATGTGGCTCCTCTCGACTGTGACAGTTTTTGCAATTATCCTTGTTGTTGTTGTTGTTCAAAAGCAAATCTAAAAATCTGTTTAATAAAATGGAACACCTGGGGCGCCTGGGTGGCTCAGTGGGTTAAGCCTCTGCCTTCGGCTCAAGTCATGATCTCAGGGTCCTGGGATCGAGCCCCGCATCGGGCTCTCTGCTCAGTGGGGAGCCTGCTTCCCCCTCTCTCTCTGCCTGCCTCTCTGCCTACTTGTGATCTCTGTCTGTCAAATAAATAAATAAAATCTTTAAAAAAAATGTAACACCCAGACATAAAAACAATTCTAAGAAAATTCATAAAGGAAGGCCATGTCCTTATTTCATTGTTTATAAAAAATGAGCCTATGAGAAGTGTAATTGGTATGAAATTCTTACAAGCTGTTTGCCCGGAAGAGAAGCGCGAAAGGGAAGCCTGTTCCGTCTTCCGCTCAGTGCTGCCCTAGAGGTGCAGCCTGGCAGTAAAGCAGAGGAATAGAAAGAAAAAGTCATATGGGTCGACTTCATCCATGAAATCATTGCATCTGGATGACACTTTCTTTTTTGTTATTGTATTTTTTCCCCTAAATTAAAAAAAAATTTAATTCCAGTGTGGTTCACACACAGTGTTACCCTAGTTCAGGTGAACAATGCTTCTGTGTCTCGCCCATGCTCATCACTGCCACAAGTGCCCTCCTTAATGAGTTTTTCCTTTTTTTTTTTTTTTAAGATTTTATTTATTTATTTGACAGAGCATGAAAGAAGGAACACAAGCAGGGGGAGGGGGAGAGAGAGAAGCAGGCTCCCCGCTGAGCAGGGAGTCCGACTCGGGGCTCCATCCCAGGACTCTGGGATCATGACCTGAGCCGAAGGCAGATGCTTAGGGGACTGAGCCACCAGGAGGCCCTGAGTTTTCCTTGTTTTTAATGACCTTTCTGCCATTAAAAAAAAAATCATCTTTACAAGTTTTGTTTATAATGATATGCAACACATGTGGGGTCATCGTTACATCGGCACATAGCTCAGTCTGTGTTAAAGTCTTTGCTTCTTCCCTCCTCTATCAGCAGGCCTCTGTAGGTATCCCAGATTAGCCTCGACTGAAGATATTTTAAGCTCCTATGTCTTTTCCAAACAGGACTTAGTTAAAAATAAAATAAATGATGAAATGACTCTTTAAGGACTGGAAAACCAAGCGAGTCCCTCTTTTCCGAGAGAGATGTTTTTTAGGGAAAATTTCCATGCATATTTGGGCATATATGATATTTTCCCTATCATGAACGTTTAAGGGTAAACTGGTGCTCTTTTAAATTTAACAAATAAGGTTAATTTTCATTTTCACTAGAAGGGAAAAAGCTAACTTTCTGAGTCTACTTTTGTTTCTGTGTGTATATATACACGTACATATATGTACACATTATATACGCATACGCCCATATATATACACACACCCATTGTACACACTTATACGTTTATATACATTATATACACGTATCACACGCATGTATACTTATGTAATGCGTATTATGTATACAATGTATATATATTATGAAAATCAAGTTTCTTACCAGTTTACTAATTTATGGATATTATTTCCTTTTTTAATCTATGTTTTTGAGAATGAAAGATAGAAAACAATATGATAGTTTTAGGAGTCATTCTTTGGGTTTGTCTCATTTAGATATCAAAAGTAAAGTATTACATAAATTACCCCTTAAAATAACAAAGATGGAAGGTTTTTTTTATAGCAACATAATTTTCCAAAATTTTAGAAAATACATTGTTGTATTTATGTTTAAAAATGAATCAATCCTTTCATCCAGCCATTTCGTGAGAAATATGGTCTCAGGAATTTAGTAACTAAAATTATGAAAATGAAAGTATTATGTGTGTTTCCTTTTATATATCGGGTCTTTTCCAGTTAATTGATTTAAAGAATCAGATCTGTTCTAGTGAATCCATTTTCCTACTTCCCAGTTTCCCCATCACATTGGGGAAAATCGTGATGATGACTTGAGATGCAGAGTCGTGTGACGTTGGAAAGTCAGACGTGGTTCCGTTTAGCTGGCGCTCACACGGCACCCGGTAGGCCACTCGCTGTACTGAGTTTCACAGTGGAGGAGTCAGCGTTTCTTGGAAAAGCAGTGAACCAGTAAGTCAGGGTATTTCATTCTTTTTAACCGTAGGCTCAAGAGGATGCCGAAAAGCTTCGGTCTGTGGTGATGCCCATGGAGAAGGAGATAGCGGCTCTGAAGGACAAACTGACAGAGGCGGAAGACAAGGTTAAAGAGCTGGAGGCCTCCAAGGTCGTGAGATGCTGTAGCTCGTTCCCTGAACCCGGGGCCCTGACCTAATGCCATGAGCAAAGTTAGAGTCACTTTTGGGGGGTAAAAACTGGAATTCAGACTGTGTGTCTTAAAATCTTGCTTTCTTTAAAATGCAAAGGAGAAAAACACTTGGGGAGGATTTTGTCCTGATGGGTGTTTCAGACGATGACCGGAGCAGTGCTCCTGCTGCTCTGTGAACCGTGGTCTTGTTCATGTTCATGTCAGAGCGAGGCCCGGCCTGATTCGCTTTCTTATCGAGGAAAATGAGCTCTTGGAAGTTGATTTCTTTTCCTGACGCGAGCCCCAGAATTGATGGCGTAGAGATGACGTAGTTACAGTGCAGCTGGATTTGTTGGCCATAAAGGTACAACCGAGGAAATACAGAGGGAATGTTGAAAACGGTGATAATTAAAAGAGAGTAGGAAAGAAAGAAAAAAAGATAGTAAACAACAACAAAAAAAGGTAGTAAACAAAAGCACAGCATAGGAATGTAGGAAGGGGGACTAAACGTCATCGCCTACTAAAGTAGATGGGATTAAAAAAAAAAATCTAAATTTGTATTGCTTATAATAGACCGAAAATAAAACTGCAAGATAAGACTGAGGATAGAGGGATATCTAAAGACACGCCACCCAAATTCTAACCGAAAGAAAGCTGATGTAGTAACTGTGATATGAAGTGTCCAGGATGTAGGGGAAGGAGTGTGGAGATGGAGGGACCCCACCTCAGAATTCATCCGTGAGCCCTGACGGTCACTCTCGAGGTCACCAGACACACCTGGAAATTCGTGAACTAAGAGGGACAGTTACAAGGGGGAAATTAACGTGCACAGTTCTGGTAGGAGAGTGAGGCTGATCGTAGCCAGTGGTCATGTGAGAAGAGGAAAATGTGAGCAGGAATGTAGGGGTTTGAGCAGTCTGATTAATAACTTAGGAGTAGCAGATTGGTAAGAGAGAGACTGTGTCTTCTGCAGTAGCGGAGGCTCAGCTGGGGACCTTGAGCAACTGACCTCATCTTACTGCGCTTTGCTTTTCTCAGCTGTAAAATGGGGGCAGTGGTACCCCCCATAAGGCCACTGATAGGATTATGTGAGTCTGCAGGTGTGAAGCCTGGAAGGTGGTGCCCGGATAAAGCAACTGTTAGGTTCAGGTGCATGAAGCTTTTCACAGCGTCACAGAGGAAGTGCCGAGAAACTTTGTTATGTAAACTCAAGTCTGTTGTTATGCCAAAAATACTGTTGTGTGAACTCAGCTGTCTGACCACAGGCCATTAAATTATCTCCAGTAAAATGGTCGCTAAAATAAAATGGAGATCAGAAAAAAAAAAAAAAAAAACCTCATGGAAAAAGGCATGGTAAAATAGTTAAAGTGATTTGAATGTTTCACTCCAGATTCCAGACAGGCGGACAGTAGCACAGACAGCAGGAATATAGGGAAGTAATGTACTGCAGAGCAGAAACGGTGAAATAGAAAAGCAAAAGAAAAACTGAGAATGTCAGTGTAATGGGAAAAATGGGCAAACTGGTAAGAAAGACAAACTTCCATTAAGACTGATCAGGGGGGCCCTGGGTGGCTCAGTCAGTTAGGCATCCCCCTCTTGATTTCGACCCAGCAAGACCCGATACAGAGACGGCATCAGTCCTGAATGGGGGCAGTGAGGCTGACGGTTGTTCGTGTAGAAAAGCAAGAGGATGTGCCGGTAGATGTTAGACTCAGCAGCAGTTCAAGAAAGTTGTGCCAACAAGATCAACGTAAAAAATCATATTCTCCAGTAATCCATCCAAGTAAAGAATGTAATGGGGGAATAAAGTCCCATTTGTAGTAATAAAAACAAAAACAAACGGCTCCTCCCCCCGTCCCCGCCGAAAAACCCAAAATCAACTCTGCGTTGTCGAGTTGTAGGTACCTGAGAAAGTAAACATAAGTGGTTACGATCGTTGTGGAAAGAGCTATGATGAAGGCCCGAGCACATGTGTGTCCCTCAGGGACAAGACAGGGGGCGTCTTATGTCGTACAGCGCAGGCAGTGTATCCCCAAATTCATCTGAGTTCAAAAATCCCACTCTGAATACAGTGGGGTTTAATAAGGAGCTTGGAAGGAGGCAGGTTGCCCCGCCTACCAGACGTTAAGACTTACAGTGAAGCCACTGTCATTCAAATGGCTTGTTCCTGGTTTGGGGACAGACGGGACCAGTGGAGCAGAATCGAGAGCTCAGCAGAGCCTTGTGTGTGTGAGAGTTTGGTATGGGACGGCTCGCCTTGCGCAGCTGCGGGAAGGAAGGGATTGTTAAAGCATAGCCTTTTTAGGGGCGCCCGGGTGGCTCAGTCACTTGACTGTCCGACTCTTGATCTCAGCTCAGGTCTTGATCTCAGGGTCATGAGTTCAAGCCCCGCGTCAGGCTCCATGCTGGCTCTGGAGCCTACTTAAAAAAAAAAGTAAAATAGCCTTTTTAAATTGTTTTACCCCCCCCCCTTTTTTAAAGAGAGAGAGCATGAGTTTGGGGGGAGCGGCAGGAGAGAGAGGGAGTCTCAAGCCGACTCCACACTGAGCAGGGAGCCTGACGTGGGGCTTGATCCCATGATCTGAAATCATGACCTGAGCCAAAATCAAGAGTTAGGCGCTCCTACGTAGTTTTGAATACGGAATAAAGTGAAATTAGCTTTCTACCTCATACTTTCCAAAAATTAATTTCAATGAATTAAAGACCAAAGATTGAAAAAATCTTTAAAACTTTTAGATCCTAAGAAAAGATGTTATTTGGGATAGAAAAACATTTAAAATTTTTTTTAAATTTAGGGAGCATGAACAAACGTGAACACGAGTCGGGGAGAGACGGGAGAGGAAGAGGGACGGGCGGACTCCACGCTGAGCTCGTGGGGCTCGATCTCCCAACTCTGAGATCATGACCTGAGCTGAAAGCAAGTCGGATGCTTAAGGGACACCACCACCCAGGTGCCCCCAAAATGCTTCTTAAATCAGAGACAGAAATACTGGGAAAGAGAAGTTGGACAGATTTGGCTACACTAGAATATAAATCTTCCTTATTAAAAGATGCTGCAGAGGTTGCACAGAGAGGGTGTGGGCTGCTCAGCGAATGTGCCTGACAGTTAGTACCCAGAGTTGGTCAGGGCTGCGCAGTCCGAGGGCCAGCCGTGCACAGACTGGTAAAGCACACGAGCGAGCGGTTCAGCTGGCAGGGAAGAGAGGCATCCCAGAATGTGGGAAGACCTCGGCCTCACTGCGAGTCGGGGAAGCGTGAGTGAGGGGGACGCGTTCGCAGCCTCTCCAGAGTGTAAGTGTCACTGGGCAGACGGATCGCATTTTTCCGCCGTGGGAGTGTGCAGACTCTTGCGCTTTCAGCTGCTGCTGTCAGGTTGGAGACTCACGTGAGGTGCCCACCCCCTGCGGTCGCGGGGACATGCTCACAGCGGCCCGCACCCGTCTGCGGTGCTCACAGCCCCCAGCGCGTCCCGTGCCGGCTACTGCGGCCCACTCAGCCTGTGCCCACTGCTGACCTCTTGTGTTAATGGTCTAGGAGTACCGATGCCTGAAAACAGGTCAGCCGGCATGTTCACGCTGGGGGAAATAGGAAGTTAAAAGGCATGAAAATAACCTTGAAAGTGAAATTAGACATAGCCATTTGAAAACGTGGACATACATAAATGGCCAAAATTTCGGATGGATAGTATATAAGACAGGGTAAAACAAGTGATTCACACTCTGGGGCAAGACTGTTTTATTTTGGTTATAACTGTTTCAGATGTTAGACTATCTTGTTAACATTTGAATATTACAGTTAAACAGAAACAAGGCATTTTTTAAAAGAAGTGATTTTATTTATTTATTTATTTAAAGATTTTATTTATTTATTTGACAGAGATCACAAGTAGGCAGAGAGGCAGGCAGAGAGAGAGGGGAAGCAGGCTCCCTGCTGAGCAGAGAGCCCGATGTGGGACTCAATCCCAGGACCCTGAGATCATGACCCGAGCTGAAGGTAGACGCTTAACCCATGGAGCCACCCAGGCGCGCCTAAAAGACGTTGATTTTAAAACACATTCACACTGGCCTTCAAGTTAGTGTTTATCACAGTACGAGAGTAGTTATTTTTCCTGTCATGACTTCCTCTTTTTTCCGTCCGGTACATGTGTCCATGAAGATGGGCCCTTTTCATAAATTCAAGGCACTTGGAACTACTACACCAGAAGTCAAAGAAAAGCACATTTATAAGAGTGTGGCACTACTTGTTACCTTTAGGAATTAACTACTGTTTAAAGACCCCTGCACGACACAGTGTTACTGAGAATGTGACGAAATTATTCCAGGCACATGCCGCTCTGGGAATGCAGATTAGAGCTGGCTGTTTGGGACGCGAGGCACAAAGCTGCCGCACGTCTTCTCTGTTGTGTACTCACTCGGCGATACGATTACGGAGAACACCGACTATTAATCATGTTGCTTTCCTACTTTTCTATAGCAACTATGTGTTTGTAGTATAACTAAAAATTTCAACTTAACTTTTAAAATTGCACATAAAACGTAAATAGACGTGTCAATTACTTTCCAGCGCATCCAGAACTTACCAGCATACCCGCAGCAGAAGTGCCGCGGGTTTTCGTTTCCTAGAACTGCGTTTTGTTTCAGGTTAAGGAGCTGAATCATTATCTGGAAGCTGAGAAATCTTGCAGGACTGACCTGGAGATGTACGTGGCTGTTCTGAACACCCAGAAATCCGTCCTGCAGGAGGACGCGGAGAAGCTGCGGAAGGAATTGCATGAGGGTGAGCATGGGTTCTGTGTCTTTCTAGTCTCGTCTCTAGGGAAAGTCGGTACCGATTACAACCAGTAACAAATCCCAGACTCCAGCATAACAGTTGATGCACTTGAAGCTTCGCGTGTGGTTCGAATGTTCTCCTGAGGGGCTGGAGCCGTGAGGGCCCCTCGAGATACGTGGGTCATCAGCATCCCCTCTGTCCTTGAGGACTCCGGGCATGAGCTCTGGACAGAAAGACAAGAGGGCTGGAAGCTCTGCTTAAACGGCTTTTGCCCCCAGACTCACTTGATGGAGGTGGGTCAGCAAGAGTGAGCGTGGACAGAGGCGGGTGGTGTGTTCCGGCGGCCTCACGTAGCGTCCCTGCTTGTAAGGGACAGTTTTGACCTCTGGCCTTGTGGCGGAATTCCACAGAAATGGACTCTGTTTCCTCTGGCCTAGGGAATAAGGCTTATCTTTTCCCCATTAAAATAAAGATAGTTTTTTCTTTCTTTCTTTCTTTTTTTTTTTTTTTTTTTTAAGATTTTAGTTATTTGTCAGAGAGAGACTACAAGCTGGTGGAGGGGCAGAGGGAGAGGGAGACCCCCGCTGAGCAGGGAGCTGGACCTGGGACTCGATCCCAGGACCCTGAGATCATGACCTGACCCGAAGGCAGACACTTCACCAGCTGAGCCCCCCAGGCGCCCCTTCCCTGGGGTTCTTAACCTTCTTGTATCACGGACTCCTTTGGCAGTCTTGTGAAACCCTCTTAGGATCCTGTTTTTAATCCCTGAAATAGAAAATACAAAAGAAAACTCATGCATTATGAAACAGTAATGAAAACGTAAGTGACCGATCTTGAGTGTGCCGTTCTGTTGATGCGCTCATGGCCCAGGTTTGGTGGCAGGGCTGGTCACGGCTGCAGTGTGGAAGCAGTGCCAAGCGTCGGGGCCGTGGGGGTACCTGCGGCCATCGTGTGGAGACGCGGCCGTGGCTCCGGCTTCCGTTGGCTGCCGGGTCGCAGGTGCTGTCCTCCTTCCTGGGCTGGGCTGCCCATGCTGCGCGTCTTTACAGGAAGCAGTACATTTCAGGGAGAGGTTAGTGGTCACACATGTCTACCATTTTCCTCCTCTAGATGCATGGACTCCTGAGGCCTTGTGCGCATTGTGTGTTGTACTGGGAGCCCTTTCACAGGCGAGTGTGGGACTGGGTGAGAGTCTTGCGGTGAATACTGTCGGTCTGTCAGGTGCCGAGGGACACGGAGCCGTTCCGTCGGTAATTGAGGCTTGCGTGTTCAGCGTTTTCCCCCCAAATAGTGGAAAGGTGAAATTCTGTAAGCCCACAGTATTATTTCTTAAAATGTTAGGAGAATAACCCAAAGTTTGAGCAGGTCTTTGGTTTTCAGGAAGCACTTTTCGGATGTGGTGCTGCGTCAAAAAGACACGCAGACTCTGAGAGCGTCCAAAGAAATAGGACTTTCTGTTTAAATGACATGCCCCAAGCCTTCCTAACTATCTGGAAAGTATCTGAGAAGTTTCATTAATGAGCAGGGGCATAATTTCCATCTGGAAACACACACCAAAACTAGTACTTAACGGAGGAGAAAGTACAACGTGAGCAGCCGTGTGACTTACAGCCCGAATTGGGAGAATTAGCCAAGTTAGTGCTGTGGCCTCCCCGGGACCGACTCGCGGGTGCACTGGGAGGGGACCGTGCACAGGTGGGCTTCTTGAAAGAAGGTGTGAAGGGGGGCTGTGACCCACAGGTGGGTGTTTGTCCGGTGGCCAGAGACAAGCCTGATGTTCAAGGCCATTTGCACGTGCTACAGCAAGGTCACGGAGTGGGAGAAATTCGTTCAGCAAAGTTAGGATACCAGGGCAGGGGAGAAGTGGGAGCCAGATTGTGGCCGCCTTAGGCTGATGGCTTGGGATTTACCAGATGGGCGGGAAGGAGCTCATGAAGGGCTTTGAAAATGTTTTTCTTTTGGGCTTCCTGCCCAGTGGGGAGCCTGCTTCTCCCTCTGTGTCTGTCTCCCTCCCTCGCTCTCTCTCTGTCTCTCATCAATCAATAAATAAATCTTTAAAAAAAAATAAAACGTTTTTCTTAAATAACAGCTTTATGGAGATATAATTCACATGCCATGAAGCTCACTCTTTTAAAGGCTCCTGTACTCACAGAGCTGGGCACTGCCGTCACTGTCTGATTCCACGGTTTCCCAGCAGGACGTTCTGCCCTCATTGCTCGTCACTTCCTTTTCTCTCGCTCTCCCAGCCCCTGGCAGCCCTGGTCTGCCGTCTGTACAGATTGACCTCTTCTGGGCTTCTGTGTAAATGGCATTATACAGCATGTGGCCTTGTGTTTGGCTTTCCTGAAGGACTTGAAACTTGAGAGTGATCATACAGATTTTGTACTTAAGACGTCCGTTTGACAGCGGTGTGGAGGGTAGGCCGGGGTGCAAAGACGAATGGCAGGACACGTACCAGTTGTTTGAGTCGTGAGAGCTGGTCTGAGGCTGGTGGCGAACGAGGGCTGTGTCCCCCACACCAGAGGGAACTCGTAGCTCCTGTCACGGGGGCGGTGGGTGGGGTGAGGCACGGCAGCCGCAGGGGTTGTCTCTGGTTTCTGGCTTGAGTGTGACTGGGTGATGGCAGTACAGGCTGACCAAGCAGGGGCGTGTGGGCCGCACCCACTGATGCAGAGGACCTTCGCCTTGTCCTGAGCCATCAGAGCTGTGTGGGCTCAGGAGGGACATCTGGGTAACAGACTTGTCAGAATGTCTCTAAAGACACTGAGTCACGGTTATCATACTTGTGGCTTTCAGAGCAGTGTCTCCCAAAGGGTGTTCCCCAGAACTGCCCTTGTCACATGAGTGGCACTGTGGGGAGGACTTGGTGGTCAAAGGAGTTGGGGAACTGCTGTGTTCTGTATCCTCCTCCAGGAGAACACAGGCATGAGCACAGGTGCTGGGCTCAAAGTCCTGCAGTGAAGGACCCTGTAAAAATTCATCTAAGCAGGGTTTCTAATGCTCCTTGGGCACAGAAATCCTTTTCTCACGTGTCGCTGTTCCAGGGAGCATGCTTTATGAGCCTGTGCGAGTGGACGGCTGCCCTGTGTCCGGTCGCCAGTGGCCCCTCGGTGCTTGTGCACCACAGAGTCCCAGCTGGGGCGGATCGCTGGCCGGACCTGGTCGAGGGGCCCCGGTTCCAGCCGTCGCCTGCCGTTAAAACCCGGTGTTTCTGATTGGGGGTTCCCAAACAGTGTGTCATCTCTTGGAGCAAGAGCGACAGCAGCACAACCAGCTGAAACACACATGGCAGAAGGCCAACGACCAGTTTCTGGAGTCGCAGCGTCTGCTCATGCGGGACATGCAGCGCATGGAGGCCGTGCTCACGGCGGAGCAGCTGCGGCAGGTGGAGGAGCTGAAGAAGCGAGACCAGGTGAGCCGCCCTGCAGACGCCCCCCCCCCCCGCCCCCCGCCGCTGCCCCCTCGCAGGCTTGTCCCGAGCCCGCAGGCCTCCACGCCCTTTCCAAATATGCACTAGCTGCGTTGGAGGGATTTTGCTTTTCAGCTTCAGAGAGGGCCTTGTCTGCAGGAAAAGAACCACTTTAGCCTTGGTCCCCTTTGGAAGCTGCGGGATGCGGCGGTTCACGGTTCTGAGAAGCTCTTTCTCCGTGGCGCTGTCCGGTTCCCCCGGGCCGTGGGATCGTGTGGATCCAGGTCCCGTCTGTGGTGACGTGGCTCTGAAAGCCTCGTTGGATGGTGAGGGGGCGGGACGGCAGCTGCCGCAGACAGGAGTCCTGAGGGTGCCCGGAGAGCCTGCATTCTCCTTACCTTTTGAAACCCTGTCTGAGCCACACGAGCAACCCCCAGACACATCTGAGGTTGCAGATGCTTTGTTGTACACACGAGGGGACGAAGGAGACTGTCCCAGCCCCTCCCTTGGAGGAGCACGTGCGTCTGTCGTCCGGTCTTCGTGTAGAGGACGGTCCTCCTGGGCATGTGTCTGCGATTGGAAGCGGGTGTCCGGTTGGTTCGTAGTTGGCATAGGCTACGTGGAACTTGCTGTCCTCGGCCCCGCACTGGAGAGCTGTCACTCGCTCACTGCCGGGATGGTCACAGTGTGACGGCCTCGATCCCTGGCCCCGTCCCGCGCCCAGACGGCCTCGCAATCTGTGTTCTTTGTCTCTGACAGTGATGTGTCCTCGCTGCCCCATGGGGCACGGGAGCAGAGATCTCCCGTGGAGAGCCATGTGGGAGCTTTTCTCGGTGCCGTAGACGTTGTACAGACTGCCTTGTAGGACTTAGGTTGGATTTGGGTTCAGAGGTTTCATGCTTTTAAAAATTCCGGTCTTCTAGTTGTGACTCCTCCTCTTCCGTGTGTGCGGACACAGCAAGCTCAGGCTCCGGACTGCTGTCCGTGACCACGGTCGAAACGCTGCCGCCGCTCGCTGAAGGCCACTGTTGACGCCCGCCGAGGTGTTCCCACATGTCCGAGCTTGCTAAGGCTTTGCCTCTTAAAGCTTCTGTCTTGAGCTCTCAGAGCAGACGCACTGACGCGCCCCAGCTGCGGCACGGACTACCGGCAGATCCGAGGTTCAAAGCCCGCGTCCCCCTCTTCCCATGCCTGCCTTCTCAGCCACGGCAGGGCACTGGGGGTCCCCTGTGCCCCCCGCCAACCCTGGAGCTCCGCCCCACCCCGCCCCTGGTTGGCAGACTTCCCGCGCCGACTGTTCCAGAGCCAGCAGGGGTGCTTCTCGGCCTGTTCCCGCTGCCCCTGCAGAGCATGTGGCGCTGCTCCCGCAGAAGCTCGTGCCCCCCCACCCCCGCCCTGTGAGGTGTCGCGGCCGTGTCCCCACGCGCCAGGCCGGGGCGGGGGGCACTGAGGGGTCTGCTCGTCTGCTCGTGTGGCAGTACATGAACTTCAGCCATTGCTTTTGCATCTCACCTGAACTCATCTGGTTTCCAGGGGCCGCGCCCGCCCGTGTGCTGCCGGCGTCGGCGGGAGCGTCTGCGCACAGCTCCGGGGCCCTGTGAAGGACGGGCTGTTTCGTGGAGCTTTCTCTTCGCACACACTTCTTGGGAGCGGTTTCCTGGTTTCGCCTCCAGGCGGGGCTCCATGCTCTGGGCCTGTGGTGGGAAAGCCGTTAGGACCGACGTGCTAACGCGGGGGCACAGCGAAGAGCCGCCAGCATCCGGTTTTCCCACAATTCTCTGCGCTCTCTATGTGCTTGGAGCGGCCGCGGAATGAGTGAACCGTGAGGTGCAGGTCACCTGGGTGACGTCCGTGTCTGTTTTCCTTAACTTTTAGGAGGAGGATGAGCAGCAGAGATTTCACAAGCGGAAGGACCCTGGCCGAGCGGACGCGGAGGAGGAGGGGAGAGCCCCGGCGGCGTGCGCTTTCCCGCACGAGGAGCCTGCGGCCCAGCTGTCAAACGAGGAGGTAGGGGGACGCCATTGTCAGGGTCGCTGTGGCCACGATGTGGCCGTGTGCGTGCGGGCACGCAGGGCCGAGCGTCCGAGGAGATGCAGTGGACGTGTCGTGTGTCCCCACGTCTGCGAGCTGGCAGGGAGTGCTCCGGAGACACTGGTCCTCTCCCGGCGCTCAGCGGTTTAGACGCTTGCAGCGGTTCCCGGATCAGAGCAGGAGAAGGGGACTGCAGGGCCGCCTGCAGGATCTTTTCGGGGATGACAGTAACTGGTGCTGGTGCTCTGGGTTTTTCCTCTAGAAGACGATCTCACATCCCCACAGCACATGCTTGCGCGTCAGCCGGTCTGAGGCCGTGCGCTGTGAGGACAGCGGGTGGAAGAGGCGGGTGGGGCAGGGAGCCCCGGGCATGGAGAGTGGTGCTCCCGTGGCCTCGGGGCCTCTCACGCCCTCCTGGCAGGCGGGGGCCTTCTCGTCAGATTTCCTGTCTGCAGCCTGTCGGACCACGGCGCCCCCAGCATTACCGTCCCCTTCCCTTGTGGTCAGTGCAGCTGCATCCAGGCCTCCCTCCTCAGAGCACACGGACTCCCGTGACTGGGAGTCACCTCCCACTGCTCGCCGTTCCAGCCACAGTCACCGTCCTGTTGTGTCAGCGCGCCGGGGGCTGCCCCACCGGGCCACCTGCCCTGCTCGCTGACTGCTGACGTCCTCCCGCTCATCTTCAGGGCGCGGGCTGACTGTTCCCGCCTGCGGGATAAGAGCAAAGGCCCCCAGCCTCTGGGCCCCCAGCGTGGCACAGAAGGGCCTTCACCTCTGGGTGACACTCAGTGCCTCTTGTGCTCCCCGCATCCTCACGGCCAGCCCTGTCCCCCTGCCCTGAGCTCACATGCCTCGCACCCACTGCCCCCAGCCCTGCCCTGCCTCCCCGCCGGATCAGATCAGGGTCTGTTCCCGCTTTGAGGGGTTCCGTGTGTCTGTGTGGTTGGCACATGGATGCTCAGCCCCGTGTGATCTGCTTCCTGGTCACTTAGGCTTCCATGTTTATGGATGGCTGGATGTCAGCGTTTTAAAAATATCCCAGTGCACGCTGACAAGGATGATGTAATTGTTTTTCTGCATTCTTTGTTTTGGGTTGTACACTGAGAACCACTTGGCCTGATTCTGCTGTGCATTTTTTAAGCGGTCAGACTCCCAGGAGAGTGTCTCAGTTTTTGGGTACTGCCAAGCATTATGTGTTTTTTGTGTGCAGGAATGTTTGAAAACGTTTCAGACTTTTCAGAAAATATTTTAGCACGAAAACAGGAAAGGGAGATTTGTTATAACATACAGTGAAGCGTTTTAAAAATATTTTGTTTCTGTCTTTGTTGGTCTGTAGTATATATTGTACATAACATTATTTTCTGACATTTGAAGTATATTTTGGATTTTTAGATCTGATCTTTTACGCTTTGTGGAGAACACTTGTATTGAGGTTCATGACGATTTACTTTTGCCTGTTGATGTGAAGTTCGTAGTGGCCGCTTCAGAGACTTAGTTTTATGGCTAAAGATGATAAAAATTTATAGGACCTGATACCTTCTTTTGCCTGATGCGTAGAGGATCCTTTTCTCACTATAAAAGCAAAGTACGTTTGCTGTGGGAAATGTGGAAAGTACAGAAAAGTCTTGCGAAATAAGGATAGCTTCTGGGGTGGTCCCCCTGCCCAGAGGTGACACCGTGTAGCTCTGCTTCCGTTTTCTTTTCTGTTCCCAGAGTTAACGTGTGTGTGTTTCTGTTTTCACTTTTTAACCGTGACCCATATTGTAACTCTCCATAATGTTTTATGTAAATTTTTTCCACTTTAATCTGTCTGGAGGTTTTGGCACATCAGTAAATGTTTTCCCACAAGCGGTATTGAGTCGCTGGCATGCAGAGGCCCCATAATCCCATCCCGGTTGATTTGTGCCCAGGCCCGTGGGTCCGCGTCATTGGAAGGAAAGCGTGATGTTGCTCACGGTGTCCCTAGCAGCGAGTCAACGCACACCATGCAGAGCCATGTGCAGACGCAGCAATGCTGGGTCACGAGGCAGGAGCGGGAACAGGGACAACATGGGCCCCGGGCGCTGGGGACTCGGAGGGCAGGGGCAGGGCTGCTCAGGGCAGGCTGGTTGGGGGAATCCCGGTAGACTTCGGTGCAGGGTCTTCTCCGTTTCCCCACGCCTGGTGCCTGGTCGATTTAGGGTGGGGGCGCACTGGTGTGGGGCAGTGAGGGCAGGTGAAGGAGGCGGCTGGGCTGGATGCGGGATGGGTCGGGTGTATGTGCAAGGCGTATTCTTAGGCAACTTGTGTATTAATCGTAGGACTCAGGTGGCTTGGAGGGCCAGTCTCTCTCTGGCGGGCAAGGTCCTCAGAATGGGAAAAACATTGTAAAACAGAAAACAAAGAAACAGGGTTAACAGACTTCACGTGCTCATGTCTCCTGCCAGCGTCCGACGTCATTCTCACTGCAGCCCTCTCAGGCTACTCCTTCCTCTGTCCAGCCTCAGTGCGGACGGAATCAGTGTTTCTTGGGGCTCTGGCCTCAGCAGCCCCTCTGGTCCGTAGACCCATCGTAGGGTTGTGAGCTGCTGCTGTGACTTTAGTTCTCATTGTGGCGGTCACTCTCCAGCCTCTGTCTAAAGCCTTCTGTTCTCTGTGTTTGGTGGGCATCTCCCTGTGGGCGTCCCCAGCACGGAGCTCCGGGAGTCCTCCCCCGACTCCTGTCTGGCCTCAAGCCCGCACTTCGAGCCCCCGGAGCACTCAGCCCAGAGCGCGAGCCTCCCGTGTCACGCCGTGCGGTGTTCTGCTCGCCGGCGCGCTGTTTCTCGTGAGCTGCACATGTGCGGAGGTCGGGGTTTGCTTCAGCTGTGTCCTGAGCACCTGGCTTGGGCCCAGCACAGCGGACACTCGGTGAATGTCCCGGGACTGTGGAGGGAGCACGCGGCGGAGTGGCGTGTGTCGCGTGTGGCAGGCGCATCTGCGACACACTCACTCCCGTCTCTGCAGTGGAGCGTGTCGTCTGACTCGGCCGTGTGTGTTGTCACGTTTCAGGAGCAGCTGGACAGCACCCATGGCTCTGCACACTCGCTGGACGCGGACTTGCTGTTGCCGTCTGCAGACCCGTTCGGCAAGTCGGACGCGGACGTGTTTAAGGACGGACTCAGGAGGGCGCAGTCTACGGACAGCCTGGGGACCTCCGGCTCGCTGCAGTGCAGAGCACTAGGCTACAACTGCAAAGCAAAATCTGCTGGTAACCTGGATGAGTCGGACTTCGGGCCGCTGGTGGGAGCGGACTTGGCGCCTGAGAACTTCGACACGGCGTCCCTTGGGTCGCTGCAGATGCCGAGCGGGTTCATGTTGACCAAAGATCAGGAGAGAGCCATCAAGGCCATGACGCCTGAGCAGGAGGAGACCGCGTCTCTCCTCTCCAGTGTCACCCAGGGTGTGGAAAGTGCTTACGTGTCCCCCAGTGGTTACCGCCTGGTCAGCGAGACCGAATGGAATCTCCTGCAGAAAGAGGTGAGCCGTCCTCCTGCCTTTCTCCCGCTCGCTCCAGCTGTGGGACACCGGGTGGCCGTGGGATTGTCCATTCACGAGATAGCCCTGGGGTCCCTGCATGCACATGTTGCCGCAAGCGGCCGTCTGCCCGAGTCCCGGGACCAACTGGCTGCTCGCTGCAGCTGTGCGGCACCCCCACCGCCCCCGAGTGCCCCCCCGGAGCGGCGTGCAGGCAGCTTTATGCTGGAGGAACATGCTTGCTCTGCCCTTGTCGCCAGTCTCAGTGTTCTCCGAGACCCCTTCTGTCGTCGCTCCTTGCGATCTTGTCAGCAGTCCATGCACGAGTGCGCGTCAGGAGGGGGCGGACACCACGGGAGGGAGAAGAAGGCGACGTTTCAGGAGGTTCATTTTCCTCCCGGGCGTGTCTGCAAACTCAGATGGACGAGTAGGAGCAAACTTGACGCCTTGCGCAGTGGCTCGCGGGTTCACAGGGCCTGTGTTCCAGGGACGTGGTCCCTGCTCATAGGTGAGGGCTTTGTCTCAGGCCACGGAGTCGTGCAGGTTTTCCCGGTGACCGTGTGCAGGGAGATGGGGGGGCCAGGTTCTCGGACTTGCAGCGCTTTCTCTCTCAGAGCCCCGTCTCCGGAAGGGGCGGTTGAGCTCTGAGTGGATCCGCCCCCCTCGGTCGCACGCAGGACGTGTAGCTCACCGGTTAGCAGCTTGTACTTGGAGCCGGGGGAGCAGCCTGTGGGCGCTGGTTCCCCATCCGCAGCCCCTCGTGGACGGCGTGTGGCTCTTGGACTGGCACTGTGGCCTCGTGCTCTCCTGCAGCGTGGTGTCTCGGGGCCCTGGGCGTCCTCTCGTGCTCGTGTTGGCGTCCACCATGTCAGAACCCTACCCTGTGTTGCCATAAATCTGTGACGACATCGTTTACCCTGCCCGGGCTGTCTGGGTAGCGTGGGTGGAACGACCTGGGCGGCCTGAGTAGGGTTGTTTTGGTGCCCTCAGGTTCATAACGCGGGGAACAAACTCGGCCGACGCTGCGACATGTGCTCCAACTACGAGAAGCAGCTGCAGGGTGTTCAGGTTCAGGAGGCAGAGACCAGAGACCAGGTGAGCTGCTCGCGAGACCGGAGGGCGGTGGTGTCCTTCCCCTGGATGCGCGGAAATAAGGGCTCCCTTCTCCCTTTGCTTGGGAACATACATCCGTGTGACCTCCGGGACGCCCGCTGCATTCCATGGGGGGCACACCAGGACTTTCTGTCCGCGCTCCCTTGGCTCACCCGCTCCCGCGCCGGCCGGCCGGGCTCTTGGAGGGGCAGCGGCACCCGGGGTCCTGGCGCCTGCCCCTCTGCCCACGGCGGCCGGCTGCTCAGGAGCGCCCCCGCAGAGTGCGTTCCCGCAGCCGGGACCTGCGGGGCGGGGGTGGGGGGGGTCGTGCGCTGGTGCTCTGCCGGCCGGAAGCTCCCAGGCGCGTCCTCTTAAGCCTGCGTGGACTCTTCACTGCTGTTGCCCACTTCTTGTCACAGACTTGCTGAGCGGATGAGGGCGAGTTCTCGGGGGCAAAGAAGTTGAGACCTGACGGATTGTGTGTGGGGATGGGCAGGTCCCTCTCCAAGCACCGTGTCTGACGGCGAATTCTTGAGGACACTTAGGGAAGGGGAGTCTCCAGAGAGTGGGCTTGTGAGAGGACGTAGGAGGAACAGACGATTTTTTCCTTCTGTTTCCAAATTATTTGATTATTGTAAAGATTGTCTCCTTAGTTGTCTTAAAATTAGATATGCAGGTTAGGAGGACGGCTTGATATGTCCTGATGCCACTGCCATTCATTTCCTCCGGGTTCGCTGGTTCCCATAGACGTTGGAAACACTTTCTAGAGATGCGGGAGGGCCTCACCGTGAGTTCAGGGAAGGTGACGCTCGAGCTAGGTGTGTTCTAGAGCCGGAGTGAAAATCGGGAGAAGAAACGGGAGAGGGTGTTCAGGGACAGGAGAGGTGCACAAAGAAACACTTAGGAAGGGGAGCGCTGTGTTCCGGAAGCACGGCCGGCTCGGGGCTGTGTAGGGGAGCAGGAGGGGAGACGACGCTGTAGAGGGAAGGCAGAGTAAGGTCACGGGGGAGCGCTGCTGGTGGATGGCACCTGACTTCTACCCTGCGGGCCTTGGGATGCGTTTAGGAATTACAAGTAGGGAAATAATAAGATTTGTCTTTGCTCTCAGAGGAGGTGCGTAGTGTTAGCGTGGGTGCAGATGGGAGGCAGCAGACAGAGTGGAGTAAGGGCCGGGATGGGGAGCGACCTTCCCGCACGAGAGCACGCGTGCGAGGCCGGCTGCTCAGCCCGAGCCCGGCACTGCCCTCGAATGCCGCCGGCCGTTCTGAATCAACCAGCGCTTGCTGTTTCTGGGGAGGAAAACAGATGAGCTCTTTAAAATTTCTGGAGGTCGGGCCTTAGTTCTAGCGCACGGAGGCTTCCGCGGGAGCTGCATGTGCACTGGCGTTTGCCGTCCGCAGGTGAAGAAGCTGCAGGCCATGCTGAGGCAGGCGCACGAGCAGCTGGAGACGACGGCGCGGGAGCGGCAGGAGCTGGAGGCTGCCCTGAGCCGCAGCGCCCACGACGCTGGCCACCAGGTACGCGGGCTGATGGCGCCGTGCGGCCGCGGGCGGTGGCTCCGGGACCTCAGCCCTGGTCTCTCCGCTGAGACCCCAGGTCTGTCTGCGCTCTGGGAGTCAAGCTCCCTTCCCGAGCTTTCTGCGGCCCGCCCTCCGGAGCTGGGAGGCGTGGCTGTGTGCTCCATGGCTGTCTGTGGGCTCGCGTTTTCTACCTTCAGCAGGTTTTCCTGCTGCACACACAGAGCTTTCTGACCGGAGTGATGCTTTTTATTTTATTATTTTTTAAAAAGATTTTATTTATTTATTTGTTAGAGAGAGAGTGCATGTGCATGAGCGTGAGCACAGGCAGACAGAGAGGCAGGAAGAGGGAGAAGCAGGCTCCCTGCTGAGCAGGGAGCCCCATGTGGGACTTGATCCCAGGACCCTGGGATCATGACCTGAGCCGAAAGCAGACGCTTAACCCACTGAGCCACCCAGGCGTCTCAGGAGTGATGCTTTTTAAATTCTTACCGACTTCTTAAATGTGTAACACATAAAAGAAACTCAAAGCTTCCCGGACAGACCTGGCACGCCCGTGCGCCTCTCCGCGGAGCCCTGTCAGGACAGAAGAGCCGCGTGCGAACCTGCCCGCCAGGCCTGCCCTCGCCTAACTTCGGACGCTGTCCAATGCGTGTATCGTCTTGTCGTCCTCCATGTGGCATCGCGACGCTCTTCCCTGACGCGGGAGCGGTGGCTGCTTCCTTGTGGTCATCGCACGCTCATCCCGTACGGGTCCGTCCGTCTTTCTGTCAGGATGTGCGTTTGGGTGGCTTCCCCTTCTGCAGTGTTAGAAGTGATTCTGCTCTGAAATTTCCATGTGGGGCTGGTGGCACGTGCTTCTTCTGCTGGTTTCCACCCATAAGGGCCATGCCTGGCTTGGAGCGTTTGGAATGCGCGCGGCGGATGACGGCGGGTGACAAGGCCAGACCATCGTCCACAGTGGCCGTCTGCATTTACGCTCTCGCCAGCAATGCACAGGGGGTCCCTGTGGGCCTGTGTTTGTGGCAGGTGATGCTGGGGTCTCACGGGGGCTGCATGTGCCTTTCTCCGAAGACCACCCAGGTTGTGTGGCACTTGTCCTGTTTCTTGGCCTCTGGGTTATCAGTGTGTGTGTGTGTGCGCACGCGTGCACGTGTGTGAGTCCTCTCCAGTCTTATGCTGATTGTCTGTTGGATTGTCTAGTTTGTTTATCTGTTTTTGGTTATTTTTCTGACTTGTTAGAAGCTCCTTACATAATTGTACTAGAGTCTTTGGTGACTTGTGTGGCACGTGTCTCTCATGTTTTATGTTTCCGTTACTTATTGGTGCCTTTTGATGAACCGAAGTTCTTGATTTTCAGGTAGCCAGGTTTATTAACGTTTACGATTGGTGATTTTTGTTCCCGTTTTTTAAAACAGTATTGTCTTGGGGCACCTGGATGACTCACTCAGTTGAACATCCAACTCTTGATCTTGGGCTCAGATTGTGATCTCAGGGTGCTGGGACTGAACCCTGTGTGGGCTGTGTGCTCCCTGCAGAGTCTGCTCGGCATTCTTCCCCTCCCTCCTCCACCCCCTCTGTTCCTCTCCCTGCTCATGGGCTCTTCTCTAAAATAAACAATAAAAATATTTTTTTAAAAATGAGTATTTTGTTATCCTCGCGTTATAAAGATGTTTTTACATTATTTTTCCAGAAGCTTCATTGTTTATAGTCACGTTTATATCTAAAAACCTATCTAGAGCTGACTTTGATGTAGTTGCATAGATAAAGGTGAAATTTTATCTTTTCCATATGCTTAGCCGGTTCCTGTACCATTTAGTGAAAAGACCCCCTTTGTCTGCCCGGCAGGGTTGTCTGGTCGCTCGCCCGGTGGGTGTGCGCCTGTGGCTCAGGCTCAGTCTCTGTTCTCTCCGATTGGTTTGGCTGCTTCTGTGCCAGATTCTCTGCCGTGATTCACAGTAACCTTTCCACCTGCTGCTCTCTTTTAAGGGTTTTTGTTTTGCTGCTGCGAGCTGTGTTTTCATTCGTGTCACGGGCGCTCACCTTTGTCTCGTGCGGCATGGTTCGCGTACCTGCCTCAGAGCTGTCGGGTCATCGTGGGGCTGGCGTGTGGGAGTTCCTTTCCTTTGAGAATTGCTCACATTTTCCTGATTCTCTCTGTGTCAGGTGCTTTTAGATTGTGTCCCGGAATTAGGGATATTTTATCGGGAGACTCAGCGTTCTGTTAACGTGATCAGGTTCCGTTAGCAAGTTATGTCTCATTGGGTGACGGGTCCGTTTCTCGAAGCCTCTGCGGAGCTGTTGGATGTGTTCACTTGCGGATTGCTCAGGGGTGGGTGTGGGGCTTGCGCCGGTGGATGCCCTTTCTCTAGCGCTCATCCCCAGGAACGGCCCTGTGCCCCCGCAGCCAGGCGGCCCTCCCGTGGGGCGGTCGGAAGTGGGAGAGCCGCGTGGGGACCGTGGGTTCACCCCTGAGGGGTTGCTTCTTCCTCTGCTGACTTCCTTCCCTCGACTGCTTTTGCTTATTTTTCAGTCCTTGGGTAGCTTTCATATTTATCCAGAGTTTCTCGTTGTGATCAGCGTGGAGAAAGGCCGCCGCGGGCCTCGTGCATCTTGTAAGTCTGTACTCGTCCCTATTCTCATCTGTCAGATCGACCGTCTTACTCCCACCTTCATCCAAGAAGGGTGCTTAGCGGGCTGCAGGCCTGAGCACGGGGCCGCTTGCCTCTGGAGCTCTCATCGCTCTGGCGTCCGAGTTTCTCGTAAGAAGTCTGTGGGCGTCTCACTGTTGCTCCTTTAGGTAAAATGTTGTTTTCTCCCCTGGCTGTGTTAAGGATGCTCTTTGTGGCTTTCGTTTTCAACAGTTTCACTGTGCTGTACCTCGGTGTATCTTTTTCCTTCTTCTGCTGTTTGGGGTTTTCACAGGGTTTCTTGAATTTCTGAATTGATGTCTTACACCGCAGTTGGAATATTCTCAGCCATCACGTGTCCTTTAAAAACTTGCTTTTACTGAGACATTACCTACAGCAAGCAGAAATCTCACGTGTAAACTTGGATGGATTTTAACGTGTGAAAGATGTTCCAGGGCGGTCCTCACCTGGATCGGGACATGGAACTCGTGTCGCCGTGTGCCCTGACGCGCGGCCGTACCAAGAGGCAGGCGGGCTTCTGGCATCCCGCACTGTGGGCCGCGCGGCGCGGCCTCGACTACGCGTAGAGGGAAGCCTGTCGTCCGGTGGCTCTGTTGGGTCCCTCCGTCTGGGAGGCCCCTGCGCACCACGGGGCACGCCTGTGGGGAGATGTTCCTGCGTGTCCTTCTGTGCCGGGGAGGTGGCCCCGTCGTGTGATCCGCGGTGGAGGGCGCAGCGTTGTTTCTGGCTTCTGCAAGCACTCGCACTCCGGTACCCCCGTGTGTCTGCGGCAGACGCGCGGCCCCGCTTCTCAGGAGCGGCCTCGAGCAGGTGCTGGGTCGCTGCGAGGGCGTTGCCTTCGCCCTCCTGGCTCTCCGCCTCCACAGCCGCGCCTCTGCAGATGCTCATGTTAGACCCACACGCGGTCTCTCTGTGGCTTTTTAAGGCTTTTCTGTATTTTCTAACATTTTTGTCTTCGTTCTTTTTCTTCAGCTCTTACAGCTGACTCATTTTCTCTTCAAATGGGTCTGATCTATTAAAACGCATCCACTGAAATTTTTAACTAAGACAGTTGATTTTTTTTTTTCTGTTTATCGTATCCTTTTGGTTACTTTTCCATTTTTCCTAGATCTCCAGTAGGTCTAAATTTTGCCTTTTAAATCTCTGGACAGGTCAGATACAGTCTGTCTCTAATAATCTAAATCTGGATTCATTTTAGATGTGTTTGCATTTTTACTTGAGTGCTAGACATTATATGTGAAAATGTTGAAAAAATATAAAACCTGGGTGGCTTACTGAGTTAAACATCTGCCTTCGGCTCAGGTCATGATCTCAGGGTCCTGGGATCGAGCCCCGCATTGGGCTCCCTGCTCAGCGGGGAGTCTGCTTCCACCTCTCCCTCTTCCCCTGCTTTTGTTCCCTCTCTGTCAAATAGATGAATAAAATCTTAAAAAAGGTGGGAGGGGGGCGCCTGGGTGGCTCGGTGGGTGAAAGCCTCTGTCTTCATCTCAGGTTATGATCTCAGGGTCCTGGGATCGAGTCCCCCATCGGGCTCCCTGCTCAGCGGGGAGCCTGCTTCCCCCTTTGCTGCTCCCCACCGCTCCTTTTTTCCCTCTCAAATAAACAAAACTCTTGAAAAAAAAAAAACAAACAAAGCCATTTTCCTGATGAGAGGCAACTAGTGGTCCTCACAATCCTGGACCACCGTCATCCAGTCACAGGAATGGAGAGTACATAAAGGTGTGAAGGTTGGGTTAAAGTCTTCCCTTTTCCTTGGTGTCACCCTCTGGGGACCCAGTCCTTGGCTCCCTTTGCATCGTGGGTTCTGGACTCTCATCTCTGCCCCCCTACCCCGGGGCACTGAGCTTTGTGGTGTCATGTGTGTTTCTTTCAGAACCAGCACGTGCTGCTAGGGAAGAGCTGTTCCAAATGCCGCTTGACTCTCCACGCGTCCTCTGTCTGGTCTGGGGCTCTGTGTCTTTTTTGCCGTCTCCTCCAGGGGCTTCAAGTAGATACTGTTCATATTTTTATCTGGTTTTCCTAATTCCAAATAGGAAGGTTGGGTCCCATAGCCTGATCTGCCAGTACTGGGAGCAGATAGTCATGTTTCAGTGTCTAAACACATGTGTGTTGCTGTATTTTATCATCGTTACGTACGAGCCCCCAACTCTCCCCGAGTCTCACAGGACCCGTCTCAGGAACATTAAGTCGAAGTGAGTTGAGAGTTCAGTGATGTTAATCATGTGTTTATTGCTTTGAAGTAAGTCATCTTGGAGCCTGAAGCTAGTTCAGAGAAAATCCATTTGTTCTTTACACTGTGTGTGTGGTTTTTTTTTTTTTTTTTTTTTAGTTGACAGAGTTTCAGAATTTTTTATTTTTTTCCTAAAAGCTCCTTACAGGGTACTATGAGTAGGCCACATGGGTTGTCCTCTAAGTCCGGAGAGCCCAGTAGCGCTGTCTGTGCACGGTGGTGCACGAGCCCGGGCACTGCTGCTGCCGCCCGGTGCGGCGGGAGGGTTGAGGCCCCGCAGAGGCACGCACATCTGCGCCGTGAGTGGTGGTGACTTGTGACAAATGAAGCCAACATCAGCTCTGAGTGTGAGATAAGCCGGGGCTGCAAGGGTTCCTGTCAGAATCGCCAGCTCCCTAACGATATTGTCCATGTGCGCTTTTGTCTTTTAAGATCTCCGCACTTGTCCTGAGAGCCCAGGCGTCCGAGAGCTTACTTGAAGAGTTACAGCAGGGCTTTTCCCAGGCGAAAAGGGATGTTCAGGAGCAGATGGTAAGTTGACATTTAAGTTAGCATGAACCGTGTTGAAGAGATTCCTTTCTTATTCTGTTGTGAGACCCTCTTTGCTGCGACTGTCTCCCTGGCCCAGTGGCCCCGCTGTTCGGCTCTCCGGGGCTGAAGCAGTGTCGGTCATGGACGAGGTTATGTGAGGACCCCACTCCTTTTCTAAACCTGCCTCCCAGCCAAAACCACTCGGACCTTTAACTTACTGTCCTCTTCTGACTTGGTCAGTGTCAGTAGGGTGAGCTCTGGGCCGCCGGTGGGCTCAGATACAAGGTGGACATTGGAAACCCCCACAGCCCCGGCAGCTGGAGCCTTCGAACCATCCCGTACCTGCCCCGAGCAGCTCCCTGACTGAAAGCGGGCTTCCGGGGCTCCTGGGCACCAACACGGGCACCCTCACTGCGGTGCTGCAGGGGGCCGTCTGTCCATCTTGAGGGCTGGGGTGGACAGCTCCTGGAGGAAGAGCTGCTGGGAACCCCGCAGGGTAGCTCCCGGGACTGGGCCTCCTTCCCCACTGGGCCACTCCATCCGCCTGTGCTTCCATTTCCTTGAAGCTGGAATCCAACGCCGATGGCCCTTGTAGATGATGGCCGAGCTGGCGGAGCCGGGCTGATCCCAGAGCTGCCTCGCGTCCTGCTCGGCCAGCAGTGACGGGGGAAGGCCTCCGGTTGTCTGGGCACGGCAGTGCTTTGTTCTTGGCTGGCATCGGGTCAGTGTCTGAGTGCTTCTGGAGCTGGTACCCGACATACTAGCCCTGGGCTCTGGAGCGTCTCATTCTGACCCTTGACCAGGGACTTTCATACCTTCTCGTTGATCAGAGGGTACGACACGGTGACTGTCAGCGCAAAAGCCGCTGCTAAATGCTGACAGCGTTCCAGCGCTTAGCTCCTCTCTCCTCTGTCCTCCTCATCGCTGCCTGCTTGTCTTCTGCACACGTCGGCCTGCGCACACGTCCCGAGTGGACGCCGCTTAGAACGCACACGTTACAGGTGACCAGAGACGTGTGCGAAGGCAGGCTGGGGTCCCGCGCTCTGTCCGCGGCCCAACCCCTTTCTTGACGTGACCTGCACAGGTTCTTGGAGTGAGGGAGAGAGACCCCGTGTCTTTGCCCCTTCTCGCAGGAGCCACTATGGCCATGCCTGGGATCTTCACGTTCCCCCAGCAGCGTCTGGGAGAGCGTCTGTCTCCAGCGGCTCATGGAATGGACGCTCCTAGCGTCTCCAGTTAGCGTTCCCAGTTGTCAGTGTTGGGCTGCACCTGCACTGCTGAGGCTTCTCTGTCTCTCCCGTGTGTGTGTGTGTGTGTGTGTGTGTGTGTGTGTTTTCTGAGCCACCTGGAAATCATTCGCAGACACTGTGCTGCTCCGAAATATTTGAGCACACCTCTCCCGAGAGCTGAGGAGGGGTGCTTCTCCTCCACCATGGCGCTGTTCTCGTATCCTTAAAATGGGACCAGGGTCCCCAGAGTGCGTGGTTCTTCATAGGGGCGGTTTCAGTTTTTTATTCTGATTTTTTGGTGGAAGAACCAGTCAGGAATAACACATTGTCTTTTGCCCTCTTGTCACTTTACTCTCTTTTAGTCTCTGATAATCTAGAACAGTCATCTACCATTTTGGTGTTTTTTTTTTTTTTTTTAAAGATTTTATTTATTTATTTATTTGACAGAGAAAGAGATCACAAGTAGGCAGAGAGACAGAGAGGGGAGGGGAAGCAGGCTCCCTGCTGAGCAGAGAGCCCGATGTGGGACTCGATCCCAGGACTCTGGGATCATGACCTGAGCTGAAGGCAGAGGCTTAACCCGCTGAGCCACCCAGGCGCCCTGGTGGTGGTTTTTTTGTTTTTGTTTTTTTTGGTCGTTTGTGACATTAGCATTTTTGCAGAGCCCAGAGCAGCTGCCCCCTAGAATCACATGTTGGATAATTCCCGCGCGATTCGTTTCAGGTTAGACATCTGGGCACGAGCAGCACAGAGATGCAGTGAGTTTGTGGGGCGCTCTGCGGAGCAGGGGGCTTGCTGTGCGGCGCCCGTCACCTGGTTAGGGCGGGGGCACCACAGTTTCTGAGTGACCGCCTAGAGCCACCAACAACAGCAAGAGCATTGAATGAGTTTCTGTGATCCTTTGTAGCCCTTCTTGCTCTTAGAATGTGTCCCAGCTGAGGATTCGCAGTGCACCCTGTGTTTCCAAAGCTGCTGGAGTTAACTACTTCCTTTGTGGTTATGGTACCGCTTCCATGCAGGGTGAGCTCTGTGTGTGTCTGCCCGTGTGATGCTTTTGGGTTTCCCTTTTTTTCTTTTTTGATTTACTTTTTTTGGGGGGGGTGCATGCAACATGGTTCATAAAACTATAAAAATGGATAGATGTTCATACTTCTTCCATTCCCTATTCCTTTCATTCCATCCTGCCCCCTCCTGTTTAGGCTCATTTTAATTTATTTTTGGTGTATCCTCGTGCTTTTCTCTTTATAAAAGTAGCAGCTATACCCATGTTATTCTTTCCCCCTTTCCATGTCCCAGAGAGAGTGGGATGCTCATATTTTGGGAAAGGGCTGAAGGGGAGTGTAAGCCCAGTGGCTTCAGGCCTGCAGATAAGAGCCGCAGAATGAACTGAGATTGATGCGTGACCACGCAGGCCTGCCAGCAGCCTTCGTCCTTCCGGATGCAGCAGTCCCCTTCTGTGGGAAATGACCTTGAGCCTCTCACCTTGGAACTGCTCTGTCCTGTTATCCCTGCTGCTCCCGTCCCCTATCCTAGTGCTCGCACTTCCCAGGGGTTGTCGCTTTGCCAAGCTCTCCTCCTGTGAGCTTGTCCGGGCCGGGCTCCGGCTTTTGTCTTTGTGCCCCCCAGTGCGGCACATGCCTCGTGTAGAGCCGCAGCTGCTAACGGAGTGTTGGAGCGCACGGTCTGTGTTTACACACGCGCGCCGGTGAAATGACCTGGTAAAGTTAGCAGAAGTCAGATACTTGTGTAGAATTTCATCATATGCTCAAAGTAGCTGGGATAATTTTTATAACGATTCAAATCCTCATCAAATACCTACAGTCGTATTGTGCGTCAGCATGCAAACACACGTGGGCGCCGGTCCCCTTTTAGGAATGAGCTGCTCAGGTGTCCTGTAGTTCCAAGCAGGGGTCCTCCTGCCGGCTGCAGCGCGCATGGCTGCTGGGCTCTGAACTCTGTGCAAGGGAGCCGGTGCTGCTCGGCCGTCCCGGCGGGTGGGGAGACAGGGTCATGCAGTGTGTGCTCCCACACATGCTCCGTTTGAGTGAAGCCGTGGCTGCAGGGGAGCGGGGGAGGGGTCATGATGTCTCTGCTGCCCGTGCTTCTTCCTGTCTGCGTCCTCGAGAGGGAGGAGCCCCTGCGGGTGGCGCGGCGGTCCTGCCGAGGGTCCCCGCGTGCCCAGCCCCAGGCTGCGGCGGCGTCAACGACTCTGGCGTGTGTTGCAGGCGGTGCTGCTGCGGTCGCGGGAGCAGGTGGCGGACGAGCTGGCCAGGCTGCAGAAGGACAACGACAGTCTGCAGGGGAAGCACAGCCTGCATGCGTCGCTGCAGCAGGCGGAAGACTCCGTGCTCCCGGACACTCTGGAGGTATTGCGTTTGCCCCGGCTCAGAGCGCAGACGCGCTGCTTCTGAAACGGCCGCTGGCCCGTTCTCGCCCGCGATGGGTTGCGCAGGTGGCGCCGGTGGCTCTCGGATGCGGCCCCATCATTTCAGAACGTGCTCATCACCTCCGGAAGACGCCCCGGCCCTTCTCCCCCCACCGCCCTGCCCGGAGCACCTGCCGAGCTCCTCTCTTCCCGGCGTTGCTGTGCCGTGCCCTGCGCGGCTGGGACCCTGCGGTGTGGGCGGTGTATGGTCCTTCGCCGCCGCAGACCGTTGTCCGTGGTCACCGTGCCGCACAGCCGCGTCCGAGCGCCCGCCCTTGTCTTGGCCGCGTGGACGTTCTGTTTACCCGCTGGTCTCTGGGTGGGCATCCGGGGGATCTCCTTGTGTACACGGCTGCAGATGATGTTGCTGTGGACATTACTGCTCGTGTGGGTTTCTCTGGGGGACATACCTTGAGGTACAGTCACAGGGCCTGTGAGAGCTGCGCAGTGATCCCATGAGGCTCTCTCCTGTCCCCGCTGGTCCCGTCCCCGCTGGTGCCCGTCCCCATTGGTCCGCATCCTTGCTGGTACCTTCCACTCTGCTCCCATCCCCGCTCGTCCCGTCCTGGCTATTGCCCATCCTCGCTGGTCCCATCTCCACAGGTCCCATCCCGGCTGGTCCCCATCCCCACTGGTGCCTGTCCCGACTGGTCCCGTCCCCGCTGGTACCCGTCCTTGCTGGTCCCATCCTGGCTGGTCCCTTGTCCCCACTGGTCCCGTCCCCGCTGGTCCTGTCCTGGCTGCTGCCCGTCCCCGCTGGTCCCGTCCTCGCTGGTCCCGTCCTCGCTGGTCCCATCCCGGCTGGTCCCGGTCCCCGCTGGTCCCGGTTCCCGCTGGTCCCGTCCCCCCTGGACCCCATCCCCGCTGGTCCCGTCCTCACTGGTCCGTCCTGGCTGGTCCCTGTCCCCGCTGGTCTCTTCCTCGCTGGTCCTGTCCACTCTGGTGCCTGTCCCTGCTGGTCCCGCCCCCGTTGCCTGTCCCCGCTGGTCCTGTCCCCACTGTCCCGTCCTGGCTGCTGCCCATCCCCTCTGGTGCCCGTCCTCAGTGGTGCCCGTCTCACTGTTTTACTCCAGCCGGCGCGGCAGGTGTGGAGCAGCGTCTTGTGGTTCTTGTGTGTTCCGTGCCCATGCAGTGGTAGTGAGTGTCTTCCTGTGGGTTTATCGGCCATTTGTCTGTGTTCCTTGGAGAAACGTCTGTTCAGATCTTGGGCTCATTTCTAAGTTGGGTTGTATCTTTTTTACTGTGGAGTTACGCATGCTTGGTCTAGACCTAAGCCCCTCACCAGAGCAGCGATTTGCAGAGCCCCGGGGAGCACTGTGGAAATGGGAGTGCATGGAGGGCTCGCCGGGCTTGGTTTTCTGTACCAGCCTGGAGAGGGTGAACGGCACCTGCCACCCTCCTGCCCTCTCTTAACTTCACTGACACGTGGGTTCACTCTGTTCCTGTGAGGTTGGGTGGATGTGGGCTGTGAAACTGCCCGCTTCCCAGAGACACTCGTGACCATCTCCCGTCTGGGTCCCAGGCGGGCCTGAGATCAGGCGGGCCGGGTGCGCTCGCAGCCCCGCACACGCCCCACACGCTCCCCACCCTCGTGCTGCACCACTGGCAGGTCCTTCAGCGTCAGCAGCCGCATCTAAGGCCAAGCCCAGGAGATGCAGACCATATTACGCTAGGAGCAGTCGTTACTTGTGAGATCTTTTGTTTCCATTTTTTAAAAAAAAGAACTTACAATAGTTAACTAAGTATCAACACTACAGAAATTTATAATTTTGTAAGTTTTCTCTGATCCTACCCTGCAGATCCAATCTCTACAACTTGGGCCTCTCCTTCCCCCCCCCCCCCCCCCCCCCCCCGTGTACATATGAACACGACCACTGGGTTTTATTTACTCATGGGGCCACCTCGCTGACCTGCCACCAGCGCTGTGTCTGGCCCCTGCCCTCCCGACCTCATTTCTCCGTGCAGGCCGCTGGCGCTGCCCTTTGGGAACTGGTGGCTGATCTCGGCAGAGTTTGGGGACCCGTCTGCTCGCGCTCTCCCCACCGTCCCCCCGCGCTCTCCCCACCTTCCCCCCGATGAGCGGTTCTGTGCCCGGGCAGGCTCCTCTTTTCCGGGCTCTCTAGACTTGAACTCCTGGACTGAGCACACTTCCTGGAAGGCCTGAAGGCTGTGTGACCAGTGCGGGCGGGGGCCCGAGGCTTAGACCTGCTCCAGGAGGAGATCTCGGGGTTTTCCTCCAGTGGTCTCTGGGTGCTCTTTGCTCTGCCCGAGCTGACTTAAGGTGCTGCTGGCGGCGACCTGAGGAGTCCGCGTTTACCTCACAGTTGCCTTAGGGTGTGATTGGACTTTTTTAAAAAGAAGACAGCTACGATTTAGGGAAGTAAGATTTAAACTGAATTTATTATAGAAAAACAGGCGGTCCCCTTGGAAAGTGGCTCTTCGGCCCGCGGTGTCTGGCCCAGTGTTGTCCGTGGCCTGTGGCCGGCGCTGGGCAGAGCGTGTCAGTGCACGTGTGAGGTCACTCTGCGCCGAAGCCACGCTTGCTTGGGGGCGTGACCTGCTGGGGCCTCACCCCGACTCCCCCAGGTTTGACCAGCTGACCTGGGGGCCGCGGAGGCCTGCACAGCCCGCCCACACTGCGCGTCCTATGTGTTCTTGCTTTTCTGCTGAGGAGGCGGTCTTGGGGGAGACCGCATCCCGCCGTGCCTGTTTCCGGCCGGAGCGTCGGGTTCTGCCGCGGAGCGCCGTGGCGGGGAGCCCCGAGGGCGAGCTTCACGGCGCCCGCGGATTCGGGGGCTGGAGCCGTCGGGGGCTTCTCGTGTCGCACAGCCGGCGAGCCTGGTTTCTCGGCTGCAGGCACTGCGGGAGCTGGTCCTCAAATACCGGGAGAGCATCGTGCACGTGCGGACGGCGGCGGAGCACACAGAGGAGAAGCTGAAGGCCGAGATCCTGTTCCTCAAAGAGCAGATTCAGGCGGAGCAGTGCTTGAAGGAGAACCTCGAGGAGACCCTGCAGCTGGAGATCGAAAACTGCAAGGAGGAGCTGGGTGGGGCCCGGGCCGTGGGCGGGGCCTGGGAGAAGTGGGTGGGGGACCCGGGGCGCCAGCGGGCTGACTTTGGGATTATATACACGTGGAAGGCAGCAAACGGGCAGGGGAGGTGTAGGAAAAAACGAAGGGGTTTTCAGATGTTCTGATATATCCGGAGTAAATTCAGATTTAATTGGGACTTGAAAATCCCGTATTCGGGGAGTGGAGCTGGCCGCTCCTGGCAGAGCCCTGGGGTGTCACCAGAGCCCTGCTGGGCTGCACCGGCCCCGGAGTTCGACCTGGCGCAGGACGCACTTTCCATGTGGCCTGCACTAGAGCTTCGTGCCGCTGCGGGGGCTGGGGCACTTGAGAGAGGGGCACTGGTCTGCTCTTGGGGTCCAACTGCTTTCCTTGTTTGAGATCGAGCTTATGGGAGAAGGGGGCATGAATGAAGAAGACCTCAGCAAGGCTGACGCTTCCCCACCCTTCCCTTCCAGCTTCCGTGTCTAGCCTAAAAGCTGAACTAGAAAGAATAAAAGTGGAAAAGGCACAGGTGAGTCTCCTGAGGTCCACGGGGGCTGCACTGCAGCTGGGAGTCGTGTGTGGGAGACGGGCCTCGTCCCGCCCGCAGGGAGTGTCTGCCCGGTGTCCGCTGGGGCTCAGGGACAGGCGGGTGGGGTCAGGGCGTGTCGGTGTGGAACAGGGTCTCCTACAAGTGGGAGGGAGTTTTATAGCGGGCTCGCAGTCCTGACATCAACACTGCTGCCTGCCGGCCCCGTGCCCTGCGCCCCCACCGGGCACGCCCTTCATCCCGCAAGCCCGGCCGCTGAGTCCTCGTCTACTCCCCTCCGTCTCGCTGTCCGCGGCTTCCCTGTGGCTCTGCCGTCTCTCCTTCCCGGCTGCTTGCCTCTTCACGCGGTCTCTGGCGATACCCAGGGGCCTGGCTTCCGTCCGTCTCTGGCCCAGGCTGCCACCGGCCCTGGCTGAGCAGCCCCGTGTGTCCCTGCCCGTCCGCTGTCCCCTCCCCGCCCCCTCAGGCCCCTCACCCTCAGCTGTGACGGTCCTGTCCGCCGTCCACATGACCTCGCCGCCTGTGGCCCTCCCGGCCGTTCGGGTTCCTTCCGGGAAGGTGCGGCTTCTGCTGGGTGTTGCGCCGCCCATCCCACCGTCTGGGCCCCGCGTACTTGGTATTTCCCTCCCTGGAAACCGTCACCTCTTGACAGTTTTCCACCACATGCTGCGGCCCCTGGTAGGAGTGCGCGCCCTCTGGTTTGTCCCCGGTGCCACGATTCCGGCTCCTGCACTGCGGGGGGCAGACGGGCAGACTGTACCCGCTTCGGTGCGTATCCGTCTTGTCCGCACGCATCGCCTGTTTGGCTCAGACTTAAGTGCTCGGCCTGCGCACTCTACCAGCCTGATGCCTCCGCCTGCCTCCAGCACGGACCCCTCCCGGGTCCTCTTCGTAGTAAAGCCCCCGGGGGTCTTTCAGAACTACTAGGACGCAAACACGACTGTGTCGCTGTCAACCCCCCTGTGGCCCCTGCCGTCGCCAGGATGGAGCCTGTGTCCCCAGCCCAGCTCAGGGCCTCTCCCACGTCCGCCCGCAGGGCCCGCTGCAGCAGGGACTCACCCCGGTTCCGGGCATTCTTGCACGTTCTTACACGTCTACCCGCCTTCACCCCTTCCCACTCTCCTTCCCTGGAAAATGTTTCTGTTATGGGTCAGTGTCACGTCAGCTTTTCTGGCAGGATGACATGCTGCTTCTCCGCGGTCACGTGCCATGAGTCACATGCACGTCTGTCTCCCGATCTCTGTCCCCGGGCCTTAGGACCTAGTAGGGACCTGATGGATGTCCGATGAGGCAGGAGGTCTTGGGGGGCAGCAGTGAGCGGGTGGGGATGGCGCAGGCGGCTGGTGGCCATGGCCGGGTGTGCCTGAGGGCGGGGCTGCTTCTCCAGCTCGGCTTTCCCCTTTCCCAGCTGGAGGCCACCCTGAGGGACAAGTCGCAGCAGCTCGAGGGCTTCCAGGAGCTGAAGGTGACTTTGGAAGAGCAGTTAAAGAAGGAGACGGCGGCTAAGGTGATGCGGCGCCGGGAACACGGGGTCGCACGGTGCCTGTGTGGGAGGACGTGGCAGCTTGGGGCCGTGTCCCCCAAGGCCATCCGTGGGCGGAGGGGAAAGGACCCTGTCGGGTCGCCGTGGCAAGCGGTGCTCTGGGCCGTCTCTGGGGCCTGTCCCCCATGTACACGCATCCTGCGGCCAGCCCGGCGAGGACAGCCTCCGTGAGGCCGACTGTGGCCACGGTACTGGAGGGTCCTGTGTCCCCAGAAAGGCTCCCGTGACGGCTCCCCAGCCGAGCAGACGGGCTCATGGGAGCCACCGTGGCAGGTGCCAGGTCGTCCCCGCTGCTGTGGTAGCTCCTCTCAGCCGCTGCTTTCTGCTGACCAACGGCGGTCCCGGGGCGGTGGCTCTGTCCTTGCGTCGCAGGGGTAGCCGTGCGGGGCCGGTGTGGGGCTGCGTGGCCGTGGCTTCCCGGGCCTCACGGCGGACTGCGCTCACAGACAGCCGCGGAGCAGCTTGTGTTTGAGGAAAAGAACAAGGCGCAGCGGCTGCAGACAGAGCTGGACGTCAGCGAGCAGGTGCAGAGGGACTTCGTGAAGCTCTCGCAGACCCTGCAGGTGAGGTCCGCGGGGACCTGGGGCCCCGCTCCCTGGCGGCTCCGCGAGAAAGTGGTCAAGGGCACAGATGTGAGACCCTTTCCCACCGCGCCGCTGCCTGCACTCGGTTCCTCTCCTGACCCCCAGCACTGCCTTCCTGCTGTGGGCGCCCCGTGCCCGTCACCCTTCCTTTGAGGCCCAGCTCGGCGTGGTCCTCCCCCGTGGCGTCCTGTCTACCGCCACGGCTGGCTGCGGGGCGCCTGTGGCCTTGGGCCCGGCGGATGCCTACAGGGATATTCGGGAGGTTGGAAACAACCCTCGAAGCTCGCGGTTTGTTCGTGTGCCCCGAACTCAGCCCGTGGTGTCCGTGAGGCCAGGGGTCGGGGGTCATCCGTGTTGCGGTCCCAGCAGTCAGTCTGGGCCTGTTGCACGGCAGCCCCCAGAGAGCAAATTGCTCTGAGAGGCCCTGTCGCCTCAAAACCGGGTCCGCTTGGGAGAGTCTGGCCTGAGGCGCATGCACATGTCCCTGTCACTTCCCAGGTGCAGCTGGAGCGGATCCGGCAGGCGGGTTCCCTGGAGCGGATCCGGGCCATCCTCAACGACACCAAGCTCACCGACATCAACCAGCTCCCCGAGACATGACGCGCGCAGCAGACGCCGGCCCGCCACCCTGGGATTTTACCTCCTCTTTAGAGCAACGTTAATTATTATTTAACTCTTAACTGAAGAAGTCACGAGGAAGGAGCCTGCAGCCACGCTTGCTTCTGGTGGGAGATGATGCTGCGGCACGGGAGCAGCGACCGGCCGGGGGACGTGCACGGAAGGACTTCCTGTGGGGACGGACGGACACGCTGGACTCCGGGGGGCTGGGGTCCGCTCGGTGGCGGAGGAAGTGCCGCTTTCTCCAACGTTCTCCTGCCTTCAAAGTAACATCCCGATCGTGTTTGGAATTACGTGTTCTGTCCTAGACCCGGGAGGAGCGCACCGGTCACCGTGTTCAGCTCTGGAGGGGTGTCGTGTGCCGGACAAGTATTTTATATTAAAATATGCAGCTGGAGAGCAGGCCGGCGCTGGGGACTGCACTGCTCAGCTCAGCGCGTTTCTCTCTTTTTACTGTCCTGTCTTGTGTCGGAGGACCTTCAGCGCGACAGAGACCTGCCTGAGAACCACGGGACGGTGGCGACACCACCGACGCAGGCGCCGACTTGACTGTGAGACCCGAGGGCGTGCGGGGACGCCCGCACAGGAAGCCGAGGTTCACGGAGAAGCACAAGAGGCCGCGGAAGCACTTCCTGCCCCTGGACGCGCTCTGCGGGCCCACAGGTACCAGGGTTAAGCCGAGCGGGCACGTCTGCTCTTCCGAAAACTGTTTTAGTTTAGTTATTGGATCAGTGGAAAAATAATATTAATAAAACGAGCTCTGTCTGACATCTAGTATGAACTTCGGCATCCGCTTATTTCCACCTCGAGTCCGCGAGCCCGTGTACCTTGTTTCCGAGCGTCCCAGACGGATGCCTGGTTTGTGTCCCTCTTCGGATGTCGCTGGGGTGTGGGCACTGCCCGTGGGAGCCCGGCCGGTCGCATCTGTGCCTCGGGCCCCGCCCCACCGCAGGGAGCTTGGAGAGCAGGTTCTGGGCTCCTGCTCACCTGCGGGGGGAATGCTGGGGCCCGGCGCGCACACGCGTCCTCGGGGACCCTCGTGCTTGTGCTGCATGGCGGGGCGCGAGAGGGAGTCCGGCGGGTGGGAGTGGCTGCGACAGACTGGCTCGGCCGGCGTCAACTCACAGGTCCGAGTGGGTGGTCTCGCAGGCTGGGCCGCCCCGAACCCCTGCGCCCCCAGGACGAGAGGAGGACCACCGCGCTCACTCCTACGGTCCCGCTGCCATTCTTAGCTGTGAATCCAACGGTAACTGCTGACCGGGGAAATGGTGCTCTAGGCCTGTCACGCACAAAACATCAAAATCCGTTTTTAAAAATCTGTCAAGTCTCTGTAGAAGGTGCTACTTTGTTTAAGGAAAGGAACCTACACCCTCACTCGGTCACGACGACCCGCGGGCGGACTTCCGAGGCGCGCAGCTGGGCCGCCACCTTCTGGAGCGCGTCCACCCGCTCCCGGGGATGCCGGCCCCAAGCAGACGGATTCCTCCTTCGGGCACCGACGGCAGGCGGGGGGAGCCCCGCTGAGAACTTCCTAGACGAGCCCCCATGGAGCCCCGGGGTTCTGCTCTGAGACTGCAGCAATGCTACCTGGGGAGGAAGCACTTCCCGCAAGCGGGGCCACGGGACCCGGCCAAGGACGTGGGGTTCAATCCCCGAAGACAAAGGACAGGTCAGCTGAGCTCCCCGGGCGTCCCTGTGCTCGCGCTCCAACTGGACATTTGTGTCCGCGCACAGCTGACTCGTCCTTCCCTCTTGGCTTTCCACGGTGGTCACTCAGCCCCGCCCACCTTCCAGAACTCCCGCGGGCAGGTGCTAGAGGCGGACAGACCCATGTCCGGCGAGGCTCCTCTCCCGCGGAGGTCTGACCCACCTGGTGCCCATCGGGGACCACGCACAGCCCAGTGCCGCGCATCGGTGGCCCCTGCAACAGCTCTGAGCGGGCTTCGGGGGTGACCGTCTGACCGCGCTTGACATAGTGTTGGCACGAAACAGCAGCCGCCTCTGTTCCGTCCCGGGGTTCTGTCCGCCACGCTTGGACACCGCGGCCGCTGTCTGGCTGGAGCGTGGAGATGCGGGCCGGCGCGGGGAGGCGGGCGGTGCACGGCCGCGGTCCCAGAAATCCCTAGGTCCATGCTGCACGCAACCCTACACCTCAGCTTAAACGCAAAATCCATTCCAACTCCTGTGTAAAAGCATTTATTCGGTAATCATACACGCGGGTGGGGACATGCACCAGCAGGGCCGAGTGCGCCAAGGCCTCTTCGTGAGTGGGGCGTGAGCCCCCGTGGGAGCTATGGCCGCGTCTGCCTGTGGGGACCCGCCGCGGCTCAGAAGTTCACGTGGCTGCGGATGGCGTTGATCTGCTTCACCATCTCCCGGATGTGCTCGCCCCTGCGGGACGAGTCACACGGTCACTCGGGTCCGCAAGCGCGAGCGCGCCGGTGACACCCGCGCGCAAGGGCTTCAGCGGAGGCGCTCGGGCGTGTGGAGGATCCCGTGCGATGCCCCGGACCGCTGGGCTCCCGCCACCCCCGCCCACCGCCCTGGACTCACTCCTCCTTCAGCACCGACTGGATGCAGCTGCGCTGGTAGGCGCTGAGGGCCATGGCGGGCTTCTGCGGGCTCAGAGCGCGCGCCATCTTGCGCTGCTGGTAGTCCTTCTTCACGGTCACCTGCGGGGCGGGACGGCCCGGGCCCCATGTGCTGCGCCACCGCCGCCGGCAGACCCCCCGCCCCGCGCCTGCCCCGCTCCCGCCCTGCGCACCTGCTTGATGGCGCGGCCCAGGTGGCGCAGCTGCTCGGGGATGCGCTGCAGCTCCCGCCGCATGTCGCGCTCGCGGTCGGACAGCACCGGCAGCTGCGCGTGGACGCGGTGCAGCACCGTCTTCATCCTGCGGTGAGGCAGGTGGGCGGCTCAGCCCGCAGCGGGCCTGCGACTCCGGCCCGGCATCCGCGCCCCGGCGCACCCTGCCGCCACTGACCTGTTCATGAGGTCCTCCTGCTTCTCCTTGGCCTCCTCGTACTTGTCGGCCAGGTGTTCCGCCATCTCCCGCAGGTTCTTCCTGGCGGCACATACCGAGACGCTGCGGGCTGCACCCAGCGGCGGAGACACGGAGATGCAGCCGCCCGCCCGCCCGCCCGGTGCTTACCTCTCCTCGCGGCAGTGGCTGAGGTCCTCCAGCTGCTTCTGCTTCTGGTCGCACAGCAGCCGGACCCTGTGGGGCCGCACGCTCGTCAGGGGGGCCGCACGCTCGTCAGGGGGGCCGTGCGGGGGGGCAGGGGGCGCATGGGCCGGTACCTGCGCTGGATCTCCTCCTTGGCCAGGTCCTGCTTCAGCACGTATTGCTCCCGGAACACCTGCGTGGCGCGGCTCAGCAGCTGCAGGCACTCCTCGGGGGGCGGCGCCGCGGCCTTGTCCGACCACCTGCCGGTGGCCGCAGTCACCTCTCCGGCTCGCGCCGGGGTGGGGCCCTCATGCCGTGTGTCCTTCCCGGCCGCCCCGCAGCCCCTCTCCCTGCATCTGCGTCCCCTGCCGGTGTCTCGCTGACGGACCACGCCCGGTTCCCCTCACACCCGGCTGTTAGCATGCAGGGGACCGGAGGAGGGGGGACACGGAGGACGGACGGGCAGGAGGAACACGGGACGGGAACCTGGTAGAGCCCTGACGCCCTGAACCGCGTACTTCAAAAAGGCGGGATTCGCAACGCTCCGTTGCAAAATGCTTCTGATGTGCTTCTCAAAGGAGTCCGGGCTCTCGGCCAGGATGCGGAGAGGAGACTCGGCCGCGGCCTCATCTTCTCGGGTGCAGAGCAGGGGCGGAGATGCCGGGTGGACGGTGCTTCTGCAAGACACACGGGACTCCGCACTGTCCTCCGCGCGAGCCTCCGGGGCATCGACGCAGAGCTGGGAGAACACGACCAGCCAGAAAGCGAGTCTCCAGGGACAGGAGGAGAACACAGCGCTCTGCCCTGCAGGCCACCCTGGGGAAGCCGCCCCCCCCGCCCCACTCTCCCCACACCGCCGCGGCATGCGTGCAGGACAGGAGTCTGAACTGACCGGGCCGGGCACCGCACAACCGTCTGTCACGCAAACGGACTGTGCGTCTCCAGCAGGGGTCCCGGATCCGCCCCAGCCTCGCCGAGGGCTCCCCCAGCAGGACGGCGGAGTGTGTGGGGACGCGAGGGGACTTACAGCAAGGGCCGGATGAGGCACTCGTAGCTGCTGGTGACGCAGACCATCGTGGGCCCCAGGATGTCGGGCACGATCCAGAACCCTTGGATGGGCGCCGGCTGCCTGGAAAGACAAGGCTACAGGGCTGTCGCGCACCCGGGATGCGCCGCCCCTGCAGGAGCATCGAGCTGGGGACCAGAAGGCCGTCCTGCTGAGTCCCAGTCACCTCCCGTCCCCATCCTGCACCCTCTCCCGCGCTCCTTCCCTACGGGCCCAGCTCCTGCACCCACAAGCCCCGTCCACGCGCACGCGGCTTCCGCAACCAACCCTTCCTCCTGGGGCCCACGAGCATGATGGCAGGACAGTGATGCAGTGACCCCGGGACTGAGCTGGGGTCATTCTCTACCCCTTCACTCCCCGAACATCCACAGACCAAGTGTCCCTCAGCCACAAACTGAGCACAGCGCAGCGTGCGGCAGACAGATGCGGTCTGTGCCCTCACAGACTCACCTTCAGTAGCGCGCCCCGGAGCGCACTAGGAGGGCCTCCGGCAGACGGGCCCACGGTAGCCCGCGCTGAAGCCCTGACATGAGCTCGGGGCCACGCGTGAGGATGGGGACACACGGCAGGTGGCCATCAGGCAGGTGGCTTGACCCATAGCCCCTCAGGTCAGCAGTCGTGTCCGCGGGTGGCCCACGTGCACCCAGCAACGTGAGTTCAGCGGCCCGTGGGGAGGGGACACGCGTGCACCCAGCGATGTGAGTTCAGCGGCCCATGGGGAGGGGACACGCGTGCACCCGGCGATGTGAGTTCAGCAGCCCGTGGGGAGGGGACACGCGTGCACCCGGCGACGTGAGTTCAGCGGCCTGCGGGGAGGGGACACGGCCTTACCTGCAGGGCAGCGGCTTGGTGCAGAGGATGTGCTCCACGAAGCACTTCTGCTCGGCGGCCAGCTCCTGCAAGCTGTCCTTGTCCTCCTCGTCTGCGGGGGAGGGGCCCAGGGACCTGGGTCAGCAACCTGCGCACACAGCGCAGGCGCCCGCCGGACGTGGCCAAGTGCCCGTGCCAGAGCCTGGCCTCGTGTGGGCCATGCTGGCAGAGCGGCTGTGTCCGGGCAGCGGCCTAGACACAGGCCGGCTCCGCATCGGCTCCCCAAAACACGACCCCAGCAGCGCGCGAGCCACCGTGGCATATCATGCTCTGGGGCGGGGGGAACGAGAGCCTTACACCCACCGCCAGAGATTTCAGTCTCTTCGCGAGGGCGCCTGGGGGGCTGAGTCGGTGCAGCGGCTGCTTCGGCTCAGGTCACGCTCCCGGGGTCCTGGGGTCCTGCTCCCTGGGTACTGGGGTCACGCCCCGCGTGGGGCTCCCTGCTCAGTGGGCATCTGCCTCCCCTCCCCATCTGCTGCCCCCCGCTTGTGCGCTCTCATGCTTCCGCGAATAAGAAATCTCAAGTCTGTTCAGTTCCCGAAAGGAAACCCCATGCACGTGAGCAACCACACGAGTCCGGCCAATTGGCCCCCCGCCCTGCCCCCATGCGGTGGACCATCCGTGTCGTGCACCAGCCTGCTCTGTGCGGTCTCCATGCGCAGAGCCATGCAACA